GGTTGCAGCCGGGAATCGTCTTGTGCTTGCCCTGTTGGACGACTACGGAGGAAAACAGGAGTGCCTGCGAGTGGCTGGGTAAGTCTGGTCACTCTTTGGCCTCTGGAGGGGGAAGGGGCCTCAGTGCCCATTGACCTGTCTGTCCTGGCCACCAAATAATCCCCTGTTCTTCTCTCTCACCTGGAGCCTCCCCTAATGGTGTGGGGACTCACACGCCAGGCTGGTTCAGGGGCTCATTCAGTTCCTCTTTACACATTGCAGGGTTCACTCCTGGGCTTGCAAACAGGTGCAGGGGCCGGTCCCCAGCACCCACTAAGCCTGGATTCCCTCCCTTTTCTCCCTTCCCCCACGACCATCGTTCACCTTCCATCCGTTGCAAAGACCCTCCTATTCCCAGGCCAGTGAGACTTGGCACCATTTCCCCCCAATTGCTTCCTTTTCTTTATTGAACATGATGTTCACCTTCCATCTTTGCACTGAACAAGACAATTAAAAGGTTGAATTCATTTCAACAAAAATAGCAAAACGCTGGAACCGCACCAGCAGCAAATAAAAGCAGCAGAAGGAATCAACCCGAAATCCGAGGTGCAATAAAGATGACTCCCACTAATGATAAAAATCAAGTGGCAGCATAAAACAGGGCTTTCATGTGTAAAAAACCCCGACGGTTATACCTTGGCACTGAAACTAAGCAGAGCGGGTGGCAGGTGAACTTTTTTGGTGAGGGTGTCACCACATAAAAGCCCCTGCGCTGGCTTGACATCTGCCGCTCCACTGTGGGCGGGGTTTGCAAAGAAAGGAGTCTGCTGCCAATGGGCTCAGCCCCCAGGAAGGTTGCTATGGGAGCAGCTGGTCTGTCCCATTACCAGGCCCCAAATCCCATCGGACTTGGATGGCCAAAGCCAGCTCTTTCCATTGTGCCTGGAAGCACAGCTCTCAGGCTGACGGAGCGTCATTCATGCGCTGCACCACAGCTCTGAGCTCCTGCAGCCAAGACCGCCTCTGGCTGGTGAACTGTTGCGCTGCTGCACCCTGTGGGCGTCCACCCGGAGTTTGAGGAGCAGGTTTCTTCTGGAGCTGAGCTTGTGACCAGGGTGGTTTTCTGGCCAGCTCCACTTTGTAGGGGCTCCTGCTCCTCTTCCTCCTTTGGTAGGCAAAGCTTCACAATGACAGAGGTGCCCCATCTCTCTCCCCCCCCCCCTTCAGCTCTGAAGGCTCATGACCAGTTCCAGGCAAGTGTCTCTCCTACATCTTGCTCCCGTTTTTCCTGAGCTGCTTCTTCCTCCGCAGAAGCACCATCTCTTTGATTTACGCCTCCTTTATCTCCTGCCATTCCTCCAGGAAGCTCAAGGTGGTGGGGCCGGCTCTTGCCCTCACCATATTATCCTCACAACAACCCCCCCCCAAGGTAGGTTAGGCTGAGAGGCAGTGACTGGCCTAAAGGCCACCCAGTGAGCTTCATGGCTGAGTGAGGATTTGAACCCAGCTCTCCGAGGTCCTAGTCTGACACTCTCACTCCTGCACCACACTGGCCCTCATCTTACAGTTGATTCTGCTAGCGAAGGCTTCCCAGGGGCTCAGGCCTTTGTCCTCGCAGCTGATAACATTTGCCAGCGTAAAAGTTTCCTGGCCCCCAAGTGACCCAGGCAGAATACGATGCCACTGCTCTGGGGCTCGCCCCTCCTGAGTGGCGCACAAGGCCAGATTGAATGACAGTTGTGGGATTGGATTGCCTTTGGGGCTCTTGCTCGCTCCCGGGCAGCAGAATATTGCCTGAAGCTGACTTTGGGGGGGATCTGGGGTGTGCGGGAGGTCCTGGGGAGCCTCAGGCTACGAAGGAACCCGGGGAAGGCGAGCGCAAGTGGCACAAGCCTGGCCTTGAAGCCGACCAGGTGCTGCTTAGAGCATGGAATCGTGTCCCTCCCCCCAAATGTGGCAGTGGCACAGGCTGAAAAGAAGACTCCTTCCGCACCTGGCGTGGCACCTCCTAGTGGCCGATGGGTGCAAAATGCACCTGGTGCCCATATAGAGCCCATCTAGAGTCCTTACATAGGTTCCCTATTGGTAGGAGAAAATAACAGAGGCCAAGCAGAGAATATCGAGAAGCAAAGCAGCTAGTAAGCTTGATCTTTATTGATCTGTTGCAACAGGGTGCTCCCCTCCCACGCAGGAAAGGAGGAGGAACCCAGAACAATGGTGTGCAAGGCCTTATAAGGACTTTTGAAATTGCCCCACTGTAGATCAAGACCACCCCCAGAAACATCACACATACATCACAGAAGGGGTATAGCTCAAGACCACCACTCCCCAGATACATCATACCTATATCACAGAAAAGGTGGTCTAAAACAGAAATCTGAGTGACTTGTTTGTCTCTGACAGGTTACCTGTTTAATGGTCACTTGATTGGATAGCCTGGGGAGCCTGGCCAGTCTTTTGTAATGATAAATACTTAGTAATGATAAATTAGTAATTAGTAATTATTATTTATTAGTAATTATTATTATAATATTATTTATTAGTAATTATTATTTATTAGTAATTAGTATTTATCATTAGTAATGATAAATACTTAGTAATGATAAATTTGGGGACGCGGGTGGCGCTGTGGGTAAAAGCCTCAGCGCCTAGGACTTGCCGATCGTCAGGTCAGCGGTTCGAATCCCCATGGCGGGGTGCGCTCCGGTCTTTCGGTCCCAGCGCCTGCCAACCTAGCAGTTCGAAAGCACCCCCGGGTGCAAGTAGATAAATAGGGACTGCTTACCAGCGGGAAGGTAAACGGCGTTCCGTGTGCGGCTCTGGCTTGCCAGATGCAGCTTTGTCACGCTGGCCACGTGACCCGGAAGTGTCTCCGGACAGCGCTGGCCCCCGGCCTCTTGAGTGAGATGGGCGCACAACCCCAGAGTCTGTCAAGACTGGCCCGTACGGGCAGGGGTACCTTTACCTTTACCTTTAATGATAAATAGTTCCTGAGTCAGGTCACAGGCTCACCCTATTCAAACACAGACAGACATATACCCTTAAGACAGGATTTGTGAAGGAAAAGACAATGGGAAGGCTTTTCCATTTTCCTTTGACCTTGCATTTGGTCAGTTTGAGACAGTTTGGGAATAAAAAATGGTTCCAGGTCGGTCTTCCTGTGCTGATCTATGTACGTGCTTGGTTGGTACACTTATGAACATTGAACATATATCTAAGACCTCAAAATTCCTATCACACTGGCGCCTGGCTAATTTTGAACCCTATACTCTCCATGCATCGCAACTGATCTGAGAGGGAAGGGTGGGCCAGAAAATGTGCTTTGGTGGGCCTGGCTGCCTCTTGGCTCCTCTGTCATCTCAGGGAGCCCAGCAGGTGCCTCGAATAAAACAATGGAGGGGGCTTGTCGGGGGGGGGGGTGTAGCCCAGGCTCCTCGTGAGGCTTCAGGGCCCCCAAGGAGAAGCCCAGCAGCCAGACCCAGGGGAGGGAGCCAGGCAGCCAGACCCAGCACGGGACACAAGGAGAGTCGGCTGCATCAGACCAATGGCCCGTCCAGCCCAGCATCTTGTTCTCACAGGGCCAAGCAGATGCCTCAGTGGGAAACCCACAGGCAGGGATCTGAGCCCAAGAGCAGCTCCCCTTCCTGCAGTTTCCAGCCACTGGCGTTCAGAAGCATGGCTGCCTCCAGCTGTGGAGGCCCATCAGGGCTAGTAGTCATCAACAGCCCTCTCCTCCTCTGTGGATCTGTCTCATCCTCTTTTAGAACTGGCCAACTTGGTGGCCATCCCTGCCCCCTGCAGCAAAGCCTCCAACATTTCTCTGATGAAACTAGGGAAGTCCCATCCCATAATGATGATTTTACTCTTTAAACCCCACACATCACACTGGGCTGCCCCGGCCACTCTGGGCAGCTTCCAACATATATAAAAACGTTAAGCATTTTTGGGGAAAACTTCCCTATACAGTATTGCCTATAACTCCATACCCTCCAACATTTCTCCAATGAAAATAGGGACATCTTAAGGAAAAGCAGGGCAATCCAGGCTTCTCTAAATCAGGGACGTCCCTGGAAAACAGGGGCCCTTGGAGGGTCTGCTGCAGGAGGGAGTTCCTCAGTTTAACTCTGCACTGCATGAAGAAGGACTGTCTTTGATCCCTCGAGTTCTCTTGCTAGGAGAGATGGAGAAGAAGAAGGATTCTCCGTCCCCTTTCTCAAGGCCAGGCATCAGTGTATAAACTTCTATCATGTTGCCTCTCCCTTGCCTTTTCTCTAGACTGAAAAGTCCCAAGTGCTGCCCCCTTTCCTTTCGGGGAGCCCCTCCATCCCTGGGTCATTTCAGTGGCTCTCTGCTGCTTCCCACAGTGGCGGCTGGCTCGTTTGGATGCCCTTCCATTGGCACCAGCTCCCTGAGCCCCCCTCCCTCTTGGTCCTTCTGCTCCAGGCTCCTCGCCTGCAAGGTCTCCTTGCCTGCCCGGGTCCTTGGCTTCCCTCAAAGCCTTGCAGCTCCTTTACGGAAGCAAGCACCCTTTCCCTATCTACAGGAAGCGGCGGGGAGGGGGGCCCTGACAGAAGCCTTTGGCCCCAGGCCAAGACCACAGAGTGGAGCAAAGAGGAGGAGGAAACTCTGCAAGCCCAACTCCTCTGCCCGGGACCTGGAAGAGCTGGCCGGCCTTTACCTGGCTCTGAGCCCCTCCGATCGGGGTGCCTCCTGTTCCCCATAGCTGTGCCCCCTCTCTGCTCCCCTCCCCACAACTGGCTCCACGCTGCGCAGAGTCGGGTTTGGACTAGGGGTGTGTGGAGCGCCTGACACATCTGGAAGTTGCAAAGGGCCCATGGAGGCGGAGGAAGTGAGCAGCCGGGCTGCTGGGAGGCGACGCCTTGCAGGGTAAGATGGGAGCTCCTGGGGTGACTTGTTTGCCTTCCTGTCAGCCCCAGATGTGGCCCAGCTGCTGTCTGAGAGGAGGAGGAGGAGGAGCTGCCGCTCGGGCAACTCTCTTCCCACGCCTCCTTTCCAGGAGGGCGTCAGAGCCGGAGCAAATCTAGGAGCTTTGCTGGGGGGTCAGGCTGTGGAGCTGTGCCCCTGTCTCCTTTGCAGAACCTCTCTCCGCTCTGGGGCAAAGGAAATGCCACGGGACATGTTTGGGCTCCTGCAGAGGGTCTTGGCGTCAAGGACCGACAGGGAAGCCCACCCTCCTGCGGAGAGCAGGGTATGTTGGTCCAAGGCAGGTCGGAGGCGCAGCCAGGTTCCTGGCCTGGGTTCAGCTGGGCATGTGGTGGCCGCAGGTCTCCTCCTGAGCCCTTGGGATGTTCTGGCGGATGCAGGTTTCCCTGCTTGGAACTGCAAAGGAGTTTTTACGAGCAGGACTCGCTGACAGTCTAGCGCTGATGCGGGTTGGTATGTAACAGAAAAGTGAGTCGGCTTTTGCTGGCTGTCGTGGGTGCCGCTCTGCTATGCGGCCAGGATCCCGGGTCTTCCCTGGCAGGGAGAGCAGGAGGCGGGGTGGAGGAGGGAGATGGTTGGGGAGCCTCGTGGGGCCCCTGGATTAGGAGGCCTGCCTGGGTCGGGACAAAGGCCCTGGAAGGCCCCTGGGAAGAGACAGGCTTCCGCTTGGCAGTTCCAGCCAGTGAGGCAAGCTACCCACCTCCCCAAATTACTCTTCTGGGTTGACAAGGCAGTGGAGCTTTGGCCAAGTTGGGGAAGAAAAATGTGGCTAGAAGCCCAAAGCTGAGGGACTGGACAAAAGGCAGAGCCTTGCTTTAATCCCAGGCCTCCTCAGATCAGAGGTTTGTGTGCGTGTTTCCTTTTTGTGCACCTGCATCCTGGCTGGGGAAGCCAAGTCCGCACGAGGTCTGCCCACCTGTTTCAGTCATTTGCCTTTGATCCAACTGACAATGTGAGTTTGCATGTTACCCAAATGCATTCCTATTTCTGGGACCGCGAGGGGAATCATCGAGTTGAAAGGGACCTTTGAGGGTCATCTAGCCCAACCCCCAAGGGACGCGGGTGGTGCTGTGGGTAAAACCTCAGTGCCTAGGACTTGCCGATCGCATGGTCGGCGGTTTGAATCCCCGCGACGGGGTGAGCTCCCGTCGTTCGGTCCCAGCTCCTGCCCACCTAGCAGTTTGAAAGCACCTCAAAGTGCAAGTAGATAAATAGGTACCGCTTTATAGCGGGAAGGTAAACGGTGTTTCCGTGTGCTGTGCTGGTGCCGGCTCGCCAGAGCAGCTTCATCATGCTGGCCACGTGACCCGGAAGTGTCCTCGGAAAGCGCTGGCCCCCGGCCTCTTAAGTGAGATGGGCGCACAACCCTAGAGTCTGGTCAAGACTGGCCCGTACGGGCAGGGGTACCTTTACCTTTAGCCCAACCCCCAGCAATGCAGGAATTGCAGCCCAAACATCCCTGACAGGTGACTTCTGCTTAAAACCTTCCAAGGAAGGAGAGTCTGCCGCCTTCCAAGGGAGAGCCTTCCGCTGTCAAGGAGAAAGTTCCTCCTAATGCAGGAGGCGACTTTCTCCCGAATAGCCAAAAGCTCCTGGTTGGAAGGGAGCCTTTCTCCTCTCTCTGGCAGCCACAAGCAGAACCAAAACAGCCTCTCCAAGTCCGAAAGTGAAGGGGCCTCATTTTCTCTCTCAATTCCTCTTCCCCTTCTGCACTGTCTGATGACTCCCAGCCAAAAGCAGCGCTTGTTGCCTCCCTCTTCCAGGCCAAAGGAGAAGCCTTATAATTCCTTGCCGTCTTCCTGCTTCTGGGCTGCTGTTCCCAGGAAGGCTCACCTGGTACTTTGCTTATATATCTTTAGGTGCCAGGCAAAAACTTCCCTCTGTAACCTGGGCTTTGGCCTTTAACTCTCTGTGGCCTTTTGGAAGTGGGTGGGATGCGAAGTCACTTCGGGTTGTCCTGGGCAAGATGAACAAATTTAATGAATAATATTGTTGGCATCTGCCTGTCTTGGAAGACAGTGGAGTGCACCTCTGGGGTGAAGTCAGACGGCTGCACTGGCAACACCAAAGTGACCTCCTTGGGGTGCAAGCCCAGGCAGTGGGTCTGGAGGTCCTGGGCTGCCCAAATGACCCCCTTTCGCCCCCCTCTCCCTCATGTGGTCCTCAGGGAAGCAGAGGGAGATGTTGGGCACCAGCCTGGCTGCCAGAGTTGCCAGGAGGAGGCATTCAAGGTGCCACCCAACTGCCTTAGGGACTCCACTTCGGATTTGTGTTGGGCTTCCTGAAGTCTTTCTTCTCCTCAAGATATCCTGCAGGGCAGCAGAAGTTTAGGGTCAGAAATGTCCCTGCCTAAAGAGGTGTAACATGTATCATTTCTCTGGCAGAGATCCACACAGCTCTAAGCGGCTGGTAGGTCCTGCTTATTCCATCTCCACTCCTCCTTATTTTTTAACTGACCTGGCCTTCTGGCCTTCTGGGTTTGGGTTCTGCCAAAATTATGGTCTTACCGCAGCAAGCGGAACAGAATGCCGGTGTCTGAAATGCTTGGAAGGACATCTTGGGAAGTGCAAGAGAATCCTCTTTCGGCAAAAAGATGTGCAAAACGGAAAATTAAAAATAGATTTGGTGACGCGGCCAGAGCTGGAGCCGACCCTGGACAGTGGTGCGATCTCCAAAAAAGGAGACGTTCCACGCTGCTCCCAGGCAGATGTCGCTCAACTAGATAATTTATTAGTATTTCTTCATCCTAATGCGTATGAGAGATGCAGCAAGGCTAGACCAAGGAATGGAACAATTTCTCAAAACATTTCAAATGCCAGAAGTGGAATCTCTCATTTACTCTGTTGAGCATCACAAAAACCGTTCCTGTTCATCACAGAGATCGTTAACCATTTCCCTCTGAGCTACTGACTGACTGAGCTCCCTTGGGAATGGCTTCGGCTGGTTTGTGTGAATAAAGGGAATGAGTTTTGTTCTTTGGAACAGAACATTTGAAATGTAGTTTGGCTCTTAAGCAAATGGATTGTTTATACACTGCTTATCTCAAGCCCAAAGCAGTGGACGCCTCATAAATATATCTAAAATACACCTCCTCTTAATTCAACTACCGATCAAAACTAATCTTCAAACTGAAGACATTTGCTTTGCTTTTCCCTCTTGCAGGAGGCCTTCTAAATCAGGGTGTCCTCTCAGTCAATACTTTTCAAATCAACCATACACCCTTATCCAAGCAGTGAGAGGCTCCAGGGTAGCAGGGCATTCCCCATTGTGAGATGCTTGACAGGTCTTTTGTAAGACTTGGGCTTCTTTTCTGATATGCATGAGGCACAGCCAAATCTGTTGGCCCTCCCCGCTCATCTCCAACACCCTGAATGCTACGAGGGTCCTCAGCAACCTCCTCTCCTCTCTCCCTGCCCCTTTCTTCTAAGAGTCCAGTTTTCTAGGGCTTAAGAGCCCCTCCCAGGTGATCTCCTGAACAGGAGAGGCCAGCCTGCCTTGGTTTTAACATGCTAAATCCAGTGTCTGGTACCCAGGAATCAGGAGGGGTGGGTGGGTGTCCAAGCAAATTCATAGCAATGTTTTTAGCAGGCCCTGGAAAACAGTACAGGCTGCGTCCCTCTTGCTACTGTGGGGAGTCAAAGGCCGGCTCTCCCCGGATGTCCTTGCACTCTCGCCCTGCTCCTGAAGGCGTGTGCCTTAGCTTGCTTCCCATCCGGAATGTGGTTTGCAATCCCTTCCAGAAGCAGAGCAAAGCTTTCCTTTTCCCTTTCTCCTTCTGTGATGGAACTCCTATTTGGGGACTTCCCTGGCTTTTTTCTGGCCCATGTAGGACCAGTCTGGATAGTTGGCCTTGGTGAAGATTTGATGTTTTCATCCCCAAAACGTTTTTGATTTGAGTTTCTACTGAAATGAGGCTGCATTTTAATGTTGTATTTTAATCTTGCTTTTATACCTGGTGTTAGCCGCCCTGAGCCCGGTCTTGGCTGGGGAGGGCGGGGTATAAATAATTTATTATTCTTATTATTATTCTTATTATTCTTATTATTCTTATTATTCTATTATGCCTTCGGGACAGGTCTCCACAAGATCTCTGGGGGCTTCCCTCCCTGCTGGAGCCAAGCAAGGCTAGTTGCCACCGTCCTAAAGCGCCATTAGCGGCGACATCGCGGCCATTGTGCAAATCTGTTTCAGGCCCCGGCTGCCTATTCTTCCCCCTCTCTCTGTTACTGCAGAGGAACAATCCCTGCGCACTGGAGGGGAACGGTATGGCCCTTAATTGCTGGGCTCTCCTGTTACTGCAGATGGTTGTCTCAGAAGGGGTGGCAGACGCCTGGTCGGCTCTGGTTACTTGGCACCTCTCAGGGCAGGTAACCGTATAACGGAGTTAAAACACTAGACGAAGACCTGTAGCTGGAGGGAGGGCGGCTCTTGCAGGGTGGGGCAGGGAGACAGAAGGCTTTGCCCCTGCCCTGGTCCAGAGACCCCTCCCCACCGAGGCCATTTGCCCCAGGATGGAGGCGAGATCCCATTTGCCTTTCAAACTGCCTCCTCCTCCCTCCTCTTGGTGTCTCTGTATCTGATGGTTGCTTGGTCCTGGGATCAGGGGAGGGGCCCCTGTCCCCCACCCCCCAATTATGGCAGGGGCAAGGAGGGGGGAAGACTAAGAGGACAGAGGAAAGGGGGGGAAGGAAGAGGGGCAAAGGACGCCTAGCAGCACACATCCCGTCTGCCCTGGCGTGGCTGCTTGGTGTTCCTTGAGGGCTAGTAGCTTGCGAGGCGGACTGGACTCCCTCGGAAAGGGTGGGCTCTCCTTCCGCTGGAGGTTTTCAAGCAGAGGTTGGGCAGTCGTCTGTCAGGGATGCTTGAGCTGAGATTCCTGCATTGAGGGGGTTGGGCTGGATGGCCTTTGGGGTCCCTTCCAACTCTGCAATTCAAGGATTTCAGGTGCTGCCCAGGAGGCTCCTGGCAACCTGAGATTTGGCTTCTCCCTGTGATCTGCAGATGGAGCTCTTCCTTGCAACAGCTGCTTGCCTTGTGGACCACCCACCTCCCTCTTTCCCCCTGGGGTGCCTTTCGCCTCTTTCAACCCCCTGAGGATCTCAGGCAGGCATGTGGGGCCGGGTGCTACTGTAGGAGTTGCAGGGGCCTTCAGGCGGACTGGGGGCAGGCAGGGTGCTGGCAGCTGCCTCTTCTGGCCCCCTGCTGCTTTCTGCTCCTTTCCCAAGAGGAGCTCCCTTGAAACTCCAGCAACAGGCAAAACAGATCCCTCTTCCATGCTGGTGAGGGGAGCGGCTTCTCTCAGCACCACATTATTGCCTCTTGACCTGTTCACTTTTTTGTTTAATTCATAAAATTTATACACTGTTGATTGTTTTTTAAAACCCTCAAATTAGTTTACGGAAAAGACAAAACGCTAAAATTATCATAGGAAGAATTGGCAACAATGATTGAAGACTTCTGAAAAGTTAAAGCAGCAACAGACTCAAAGGAGGTTAAAAATTGCACCGGCCTTCTGACTATCTCGACAGGCTTGCCTAAGCGAAAATGTCCAAAGGGGTTCAGTGAGGGCACCTGCCTGATGTCACTAGGCAGGGAGTTCCTCAGGGTTGTTCTTGCCCTCGTACGGCTGCTCTGCCCTTTTGGGGGGGCCGAGAGGGTGTTGCTTTGGCCCCCTGCCTCTCCACGCTGAACACCTGGGCAGGAGAACAGGTGAGCGACAGGCCCCAGGTGGGCTGCAGCACACAGTCACCTGCTGCAAGGCAAAGTGAGTAGCACAGGTGAGCAGCAGCAAGACGGCTGCCCTCCTCCTCCTCCACGTGGTGCTGTAACCGTACCTGCCCCCTGAACTGTGTCTGCTTCTTCAGAGATAGGGCTGAGCCACCTGGCCGTAGAAGCAAGAGGTGCCTTGGAGTCAAGATTCTTCTTTCTCTCCCTCTCCAGGAACTCCAGAGCAGACTGCTGAAAGGATCTGCCGGGATGCCGCTCTTTGGATTGGGGTCTGGCCAGAAGAAGCGGCTGGAAGGTAAGCCAGCTGGACTCTTGCGGTGGATGCAGTTCCCTGGCTCTTGCCCTGATGCCCTGCAGACTCAGCTGCCGCCTGGCGCTCCATCCACCCGTCTCTCCAGCGGCCCAGCAGAGCCTGCACCTGCCGGGCGTCTGGTTACAGCTCCCTGCCTGGAGCGCGGAGCCCAGGCCATGTGCCAGGGAGGCTGGTTAGGCAGCCCCTTCCCACAAGGGGTGGAGGGGCAGGGGGTTTCTCTCCCGGAGAGATCAGATTTGTGGGTCCCAGAGATGTACACAGGACAACGGGCTTGGTCCAGTCGCTTTGGCCTGGGGAAAGAGCTCCTTGCAATTCATAGAATTGTGGAATTGTCGAGTTGGAAGGGATCCCAAGGGTCATCTAGTCCAACCCCCTGAAATGGAGGAATCTGTCCAGACTCACAGTGGCCAGCCAGAGGCCCCAATGGGGCACCCTCAAGCAGCCCCTCCTGTGGTTTCCAGCAGCTGGGATTCAGAAGCAGGGCTGCCGCTCCCTATCACTGCCCGATTAAACCCTGTGGAGGCCCCTAGGCAGTTGAAATCTCAGGGACCCCCTCCCAAATTATCTCCCATTTTTAAAAAATATTCTTTCAAGACCAAATCAATACTGTTTTGATCCGTTGCCGTGGGGCACATCAGCCGGGGCCTCCTCTGCCCGTTTGGTAATCTGGCACTGCTAACTAAGCAGGCAGAGCTGAGCCTGCCACGGAGCGTGGCCTTGAGTGTGGAAGTGCTGGCTCTGTCCCCGTCCTTCGCTCTGTCCTCCCCAGGTTATGGGGCAGCTTCTGCATGAGCCCAGCAGCCTCCTTGCTGCAGAGGTTTCCTCTCCAGGCTGTGGGTGCAGCAGGAGCACTGCCCTCTCTGAAGCAGCAAGGGGGACGGAGCTCCGACGCTTTGCCCCCCCCCTTGCCCTTCTCCCTCCTGCGACGCTAACGCCCAGCCAGGGCTTCTGTGTCTCCAGCCTGCCACATGTGCAGGCAAACGGGAAGTGGAAGGAGGTTTGTGGCCCAGCCAGAGAGCCTGGCCTCTTTCCCTTTCATCTCTCACTTCTCCTCTGGCTCTTCGGGGTGGGGAAGTGCAAGGACCACGTCCGAGAGGGCGGCTGGACCTTTGAGAAGTACAGAAGGGGAATCTCTCCCCAGGGCTGTTCTGTGGCTTTGAGCAAAGTGGCTTCCTGCACGTGGCCTGGCTTGGGGGGCTTTCAGGGCTGCCCCCCCCCCGTCCTGTGATTCAAGATGAACTCTGGCAGTGCATTTTGGTTTGTGTGTGTCGGGAGGGGGTGGGGAGGCTGAATTTCTCATTTTGTGCTCAGTGGGCAGCTTAAGCAAGAAGGGAGGAAATTGTGCAAGCTGCCAGATCATTGCCTGCTGATTCCTCCTCTGAAAGCCTTTGACTTGTCCACGCAAAGTCCCCCTTCGCTCGCCCTCGCCCTGGCCAAGAGATGTTTGGAAATTGGTTTCCCCCCCCCCTCTCATGCAGGAGGGGAAATGGGGCTTGGCTGCTCCTGCAAGGTTTATTCCTCACCCACCCCTCACCCCAAACTTATTTCTTGCAGGAGAGCAGCCCAATAGGAAACCACAACCTGAGTTTTGTGTGAAGCCAGCAGCTTTCAGTTGGGGGGGGGAGAGATTCAAGGCTGCCCAGTGATCTTTATTCCAAGGAAAGCTTACCTATATTTCTTTGTGCTGTGGTTTAAAACAGTTTAAACGCAAGCAGTCGATAGCACACATGAACCAGACCTCAAATGGCTTTCAAAACACCCTCATTATGTAACAGTGGTGCCATGAATAGTTCCCATGTCTTGCAAGCCCCCTTTGGGGTCCTTCCTGTCTTCCTCTTCCTCCTCCCTCCAGTCTCTCCTGGCCTCCCTCTCCCTCCAACTGCCACCAACTGACTTTCCCTTTCTTAGAACTTTCCCAGCTCTCTCTTCCTCAGACCCCCCCCATCCTGTCGACTCAGGAGAGGGTGCATGGCACCCATCCCCCCACAATCGCCCCCCCCCCCCCGCTGGCTGTGGCTGGAGAGAGTGGCTGGGCAGAGCTGCTCTCCTGGGGAAACCTCCAATAAATGTATGTTTACAATTTAGGGGGGCTGCGTATGACAGCGCCTGGGGAGCTGATTCGGCCAGGGGAAAAGATGAGAAGAGCAAATATCCAGAAGGAAAGCGCAGGATGTCTAAGCTGAAGTAGGTCTCCCTCACCTCCCCCTTCCGAAAAAAGTCCCTCTTTTGAAAAGACCAGAATCCCTAATGCTGCAAAGGATGGGGTGGGGGGCGGGTGGAAGCCTGTTCTGTAGCCTCAGGCCAGGCGGGTGGGAAACAGGTTTGGGGTGGGCCTGAGCTCAGTGGGAGCTAGAGCTTTGCATGCAGGGAGGTCCTGGCTTCAGCCAGCAGCACCTTCAGGAAGGGCTTGGAAAGACCCAGGCGGAGACCCTGCCAGGCAGCGGGTGCAGAAGATGGGCTGGGGGCAGCTTCCTCTGCTCCTGGGCTTGGCTAGCAGCTTCCAGAACAAACCTTCCCTGAGCTCTGGCTCCGAGGAGATGCTGTGAGTTATGAGAAAGAGGCTGAGTGTGCCTTGTTGTAGCTCCTGAATCAGGAAGCCTCAGGGGGACCACGTGAGCAGCACAGAATCCGAGGCTGAACCCCATCAGTCTCTCTGAGGTCCAGCAGCCCAACTAGCGAAGGACCTGCCCAAGGCTGGCATGGGGCTGTGCTGGGCCACAGCTGGGGCTCCTTTGGCCTCTGTGACCTGGTGGCCGTGGCATGTGATGATGGGTCAAGCGGCACACGCAGAAGAGCCGAGCCCTGGCTTGCAGCCAAGGAAAGGTGAGAATGTAAGAAGAGTCTGTGGACCCGGCCAGTGACCCCTCTAGCTGAGCATCCTGTTCTAGGTGCCTCTTTGGGAAACCTGCAAGCAGCATTCAAGCAAAAAGTTCTCCTGCCATTTCCAGCAACTGGAAAAAGCATCGCTGCCTCTGTGGTGGCAAAGCAGAGTCATTCTGGCTAGGAGCCATTTATAGCCCTTCTTCAGCTGCCTTGCAAAGACCAAGATGGGAAGGGGCTTCCAGCATAGCAAAGCCCCTTCAGGAGCCCCCTCGCCTTTCCTCTTTCTGGCCTTGTTGCCTTGGCGCAGCTGCAAACACATCTATTTATTCCCACATTTGGAGCTGGAAGACGAAAAGGGGTTTGTCTGTTTCCTGGCTGGCCCCTGGCTCAGCCTTCTCCGCCTTGACCGTTTCCTGCTTTTCTTTGCACTTATCCCGGCTTCATGGGAAAAGGTGGACAGAGCAAAGGCTTTCGAAGAGAACAAAGGCCAGCAGAGACATTTACTGGAAAGTCAAAGGATCCCGGCAGAAGATGGAAAACCCCACTTGGCCCTTGCCCAACTTAAGAGGAGGAGTCGGAGTCGCTGTCTGTGCCCTTGAAGCCATGCAAGCAGCAGCCGTCCCTCCTGGACAGAAACAGAAGGCCTCTTAGCCGAGGCGGAACATCACCTCCTTCCTCCTGTCCTCTTTCAGATGTGGATATTTAGGAGGGGACTGAGCCTCTTGTGGGAACAAGGTGCTGTGAAACTCTGCAGCAGGAGTTTGGGTTCTCCTTTGGAGAGATGAATGTGTTGCCCCCCCCCCCAACAGCTCTTTGTGTGGATCTGAGCAGGAGGAGAGAAAGCAAAGACCAGCCTGAGAAGGGGGGTGCTTGGGAGCTTAATATTGGGGCACCTTCTCTGCTTCTTAGGGGAACTCCCCAACCTCCTTCCCTCCAGATGTTCTGGGCTCTTCAGGCCTGGATCTCCAATGCCTGGGGGGAAGAAGAAGAAGAAGAGTTTGGATCTGATATCCCGCTTTATCACGACCCTAAGGAGTCTCAAAAGACATGGGTGGTGCTGTGAGTTAAACCACAGAGCCTAGGGCTTGCCGATCAGAAGGTTGGCGGTTCGAATCCCTGTGACGGGGTGAGCTCCTGTTGTTCGGTCCCTGCTCCTGCCAACCTAGCAGTTCGAAAGCACCCCAAAAAGTGCAAGTAGATAAATAGGTACCGCTCCAGCAGGAAGGTAAACGGCGTTTCCGTGCGCTGCTCTGGTTCGCCAGAAGCGGCTTAGTCATGCTGGCCACATGACCCGGAAGCTGTACGCTGGCTCCCCCGGCCAGTAAAGCGAGATGAGCGCTGCAACCCCAGAGTCGGTCACGACTGGACCTAATGGTCAGGGGTCCCTTTACCTTTACCTTTAAGGAGTCTCAAAGCGGCTCACATTCTCCTTTCCCTTCCTCCCCCACAACAAACCCTCTGTGAGGTGAGTGGGGCTGAGAGACTTCAGAGAAGTGTGACTGGCCCAAGGTCACCCAGCAGCTGCATGTGGAGGAGCGGAGACGCGAACCCGGTTCCCCAGATTACGAGACTACCGCTCTTAACCACTACACCACACTGGCTCTCACAAGGGAGCCTTGGTCTGGCTGGCTGGGACTGATAGAAGCTAAGAGTCCAGAACATCTGGAAGGCACCAGGTTGGCCAAGGCTGACCAGAAGCCTGCAGGTGCTGGAGGTGCTGTTTGCATGGCATTTGGGCTTCCAGGAGGAAGTGAAGCAGCTGCTGGTTTTGCTTTCTGCCATAGGAGTGGCAAAGGGCAGAAGAGGAGGAAACAGGAGGAGGAAGAGGAGGAGATGGGCTTCGAAAGAGGGGCAGGTGGCCTGGGGGTTGGGGGATGCAGGGCAGATACTGGGAATCTCACAGAGAAGCAGGAAAGTCCCTTGGCCCACCTGCATAAATATTTGCACAGGGCATGAGAGTGACCCTTCTCCACCCCAGAGTGAAATGGAATATTTTGTCCTGGGAAAGGGAGGCTGTCCCTGGTGGTTCAGACAGAATACATCTGGTTGCAGCAGCATTAGCATCAACAAGAAGACCTCCCACCGCACTGCCGCCGTCCTCTGAACTTCTGTGTGGAGCATAAGGGACTTGTGGGACTTGTCGGCCGTTGGTCTCCTGGGCCGGTTGCTGGAAGGTCTCCTGAGTCCAGCTTTGATGAGGTTCTCCTGAATCAATCCCATGCTTTGCTCACAGGGAATCTCCTCCATTCCTTCCCCACTTCCAGAACCAAGATGATGGCAAAAGAAGAGCTCCCAGGAAAAGTCTGGAGATCATTTCTGGCACACCAGGAGACTTCGCCTGCTCCAATCCCAGCAGCTGGTCTAAGAGCTTCAGGAGGTCCCCCTCCGCTTTGCAGTGGGTGGTGTTGGCGGGCACAAGACCTTGGGCTACCTAGCTGGATCTCCCACCTTCATACCAGGAGCACCCCTCCTGCAGGGACTTGTCACTTCAGCCTCGAAGGCGCCCTGGAGCATCCCTGCCACGAAAGGGGCTACTCCGAAGGAAAAGCCCACCTGCCTACAGTTACCTGTGCTAGTCATCTGTAGTCCATCTCTGGGAAACACAAATAGCAGACTCCACCCAGCAAGCCACCTTCTATGGAGTCCTGGCCCTGCTCCATCTGACTCAGGAGTGTCTCTGCTGACTGACAGAAGCTGTCAAAGACCTGGGTCGCAGGAAGGTCCTTTGCCAGCCCTACACCACCAGACCTTTTTGATGGGGATGAATCTGGGACACAATGTGCACGCAAAGTGCAAGGGATCCAAGCCCCCCCCCAATCACCTCCAGCTCCCAGAACTTTCTCCTGAGCCCAACCATCAAGTCTGGCATCCTCTGCTTCAGGGGCTACAGCTTCCACCAGCTACAGCTTCAACCAGTATGGCTAGTTGTGAACAGTCGGGTGGAACAAGGGGGTCCCCAAGACCCCTTTATTGGTCCCTGTGTGGGGGCTGGACTTGGGACCTAGTGCAGGCAGAAGAGGTTGTCTGCCCTGAAGTCACAGGCTTCTCTGCCTTGAGGTGTGACATCCCTTACCTGAGTCACCTGTGGCAGGTGACTTGCTTGTGGCCTCTGCTGGGCTGCTCTCATGGGGAGGATCCTTCTTGGGTTTGACCTCCCAGTAGGTAGGGAGGTGGGGGGAGCACAGTCCCTCCTCTTAATCACTCTAGGAGACCCATCAACTTCCCAGGTAGTTGGCGGGAGTTAGAACCGGGTAGAGGAAGCAGTGGCGACTTGTGGTAATCTGACCACAATTTTTGCGTGTGAGTGAGTGAATGGATAACGCTTCTGCTGCCCCCCCTCCTCTCTGCAGGGGACCTCTAGCTCCTTAGTAAGCGAGAGACACCTGCCAATCAATCCCGCCCACAGTGCCATGGAGTTCTCTTGCCTGGACTGATTTCTTCAAAATGGGTAGATTCTTCCCGCGGTGCCGCCAGATGCTGCATTCATGAGTGAGAACGGTGTCCGCCGTCAATATCACCGTTTAGAAGCCCTCCTTTCCTGGGCCTCAACAGGTGCGAATAAATAACAGCATTTCTTCTTAGCGCTAAAGTAGACTTGAGTCAGGGCCCCATAGTGCTGAGAACTCTAGCTCCGTGAGGAGGTCAACTGCAGTTCCCAGGATTTGGGGGAGGGGGCTAAGGGCTTTACGTTTGCTCTGCATAGATGGTGTGGCTGTGACAGGTGTCTGCCTGTTGGCTTGACTGACAGGGGCACTTCTCCCAAGTCTCCTAAATGGCACAAAGATTGTGGCGCATGAGAGAGTTGCCCCTTTTTCTTTATGCCTTTGCTTGTTTCCATTTCTTCCACTCTGCATTTCTCCACTAAAGTCCATACAGCAAAAGTCAACCATCCCTTGTGGATGACATGGACACTGACCAGTAGGGCCCTGAGACACACAACCCTCTTCCACATAGTGCTTGCAACCCCAATGGCTTTGCTTGCTGGGAGAAAGACCCCCCACCCCCATTTCACTAGGGGCTCCTGGGGAACACCAAGACATTGTGACCCCCAGCAGCCGAGATGTTTGCTGGATGGTGCGATCCTCCCTGCGGATTCCTTGCACAAAAGCCCTGCTCTCTGGGGAACCCCTGGGCTCCGGTTCCCCTTATCTCTCTTGCTGTTTAATCATTGACCCTCTCGCTGAGGGCAGGCAGCCTGTCTTGGCCCCCCTGCTCTGGAGAAAGGCTCTCTGGATTCCTGCGGATGAATCCAGCCATTATTCGCCAGACCAGAAATGGCTCTGAGGTCTCTGGAGTCCCACCACCTCTCGAGAAGGAGGGCCAAGACTGGGGCTGAGCGGCCAGAGCTTGTCCTTTCGGGTGAGTGAGCTGGGGGGTGGGGCTGCCCCCAGATCCTTGACTTTGAACCCAGGTGTCAGCCGTGACACTGGTGACAGAGCGAGGAAGAGGGCGTCCGAGTGTGCCAGGGCACCTTATCTCTCGCAGCGGAATAAACAAAGCCTGCATTGCAGCAGATTGGACTAGACCCAACATTTTTCCTCGTGGAGAGCATCCTTGAGCACTCACTCCACAGTTTAAGAACAGGATAGAAATCTTAAGCACATTGTTGTGACAGGACTGGTGTCACAACTCTCCCACCGGCACCGGTGCTATTTTAAGAAGCTCTGGAAAATTAAAGGTTTCATCTCCTCCTTTAGAGACTATGAGGCTCCTGTTGGAACATCTTTTAAGAACATGGCTTTTGAAAAGGGTCTGAAGATCTGTGGCCAAGAGAAGGGGGTTCGTGCCACCTGCACACAACTCGCTTGTGGAGCGGAGGCGCAATGCCACAAGTGCTTGCATGCGCCTGCGGTCGTCTGTGCATTGCGCGCTGCCCCGCAATCTCTGAATGGTGGGAGATTCCAGGGGTTCCAAGTACTTGCCCAGAGTTCGTGTTTGCATTTGGGAATGAGGCGCAGTGAAGACACACTGGTGTCTTTATGATCGATGGTTTGTTGACACATACATGCTGCCTGAGCCTGCGAAAGAGGGGTTCACAGCACTGACACCCCAAAAGAGTCTTGCTTCTCCCAGAGATGCAGCCTTGAATTCAAGCAGAAGTCAGCCTCTCTCTGTGCTTGCTGCCTTGATTTTAGGTAACATCACTCAAAATTCAACTCTAAACTCTGGCTTTTGTCCTCCCCCCTTACCTGTGAGTTAACAGGTGGGCCCCACCCATTTGCCCTCCCCCACAGAGCACCTTCCTTGGCTCTTCCTTGGCTTCCTTGTACTTAAAAAAAACCAAAAAACCCCACTCTTTCCCCACCTCCCTGCCTTTCCTCCCAAATAAGTGGGTTGATGTGCATCTCCTGACCCAGCCATGAGTTTCAGTGGGGAATTCAAATCTGGGTCGTCTTGACCTAACAGTCCTCCTCCTGCCCCATTTCTTAAATGCGAGGGGCTGAGAGGCATCCTTTGCAGACCCATTAACTCTGAACCCCAAAATGTGGGGTCCTCTCCAAACCTGTGCCAAAGTTTTCCCAGGGTTTTGGGGGTTGCAGCATTTTGCAGCAAACCCCCCACATTTTGCAGCACCCCACAAACTAGCAATTGATAGATCAAACATGGGGATTATACTTACCATTAACTACGAACCCCAAACTGCCTGCTCTCAGGCAGCCCATTGGCCATGGGAGATAAATGCCAGGGGGCTGAGCAGACCAGGTCACACCATGGATTCACCCCAAGAAGAGTGGGCGGTGCCCTCCATCTTTCTCAACATCAGGGTCTTTTCCAGGGAGTCTTCTCTTCTCCTGAGGTGGCCAAAGTATTGGAGCCTCAACTTCAGGATCTGTCCTTCCAGTGAGCACTCAGGGCTGATTTCCTTCAGAATGGAGAGGTTTGATCTTCTTGCAGTCTATGGGACTCTCAAGAGTCTCCTGCAGCACCAGAATTCAAAAGCATCCATTCTTCGGCAATCAGCCATCTTTATGGTCCAGCTCTCACTTCCATACATCACTACTGGGAAAACCACAGCTTTAACTATACGGACCTTTGTCAGTAAGGTGATGTCTCTTCTTTTTAAGATGCAGTCTAGGTTTGTCATTGCTTTTCTCCCAAGAAGCAGGTGTCTTTGAATTTCGTGACTGCTGTCACCGTCTGCAGTGATCTTCATATATGAGGTGGAGCCTTGTCTATGGGCCTTGGTGGGAGAGGCAGGCTGGATGGTGGCGGCTGGTGCTTTGAGGTGTCAAGCTCTCCTGGGCCAGGAGATCCACTGCTGTCTCTCAGCAGCTCCATGGCGCAGGCTTGGCTCTGTGGGCAGAAGAATCCTGGGCAGTGATGAAGGTCTGGAAGCCAAGCCTTAGGAGGAAGAGTTGAGGGAGTTTAGCCCATAGAAGAGAAGCGGTGATTGGAGATCCCTCTTCAGATATCTCCAGGGATGGAGCAAGCTTCTTTTCTGCTGCTCCAGAGTGTAGGACCTGAACCAAGGGATTCAAATGGCCAGAAAGGAGATTCTGACTCAGCATTGGAAGGCGGTGGACTCTCCTTCGCAGGAGGTTTTGTAGCAGAGATGTCCACCTGTCGGGGTTTTCTTCAGCTGTGATTCCAGCGTTGCAAGACTAGATGGCCCTCGGTGTCTCTTCCAACTCTTCATAGAATCCTAGAGTTGGAAGAGACCACAAGGGCCATCGAGTCCAACCCCCTGCCAAGCAGGAAACACCATCAGAGCACTCCTGACATATGGTTGTCAAGCCTCTGCTTAAAGACCTCCAAAGAAGGAGACTCCACCACACTCCTTGCCAGCAAATTCCACTGTCGGACAGCTCTTACTGTCAGGAAGTTCTTCCTAATGTTTAGGTGGAATCTTCTTTCTTGTAGTTTGGATCCATTGCTCCGTGTCCGCTTCTCTGGAGCAGCAGAAAACAACCTTTCTCCCTCCTCTATGTGACATCCTTTTATATATTTGAACATGGCTATCATATCACCCCTTAACCTCCTCTTCTCCAGGCTAAACATGCCCAGCTCCCTTAGCCGTTCCTCATAAGGCATCGTTTCCAGGCCTTGACCATTTTGGTTGCCCTCCTCTGGACACGTTCCAGTTTGTCAGTGTCCTTCTTGAACTGTGGTGCCCAGAACTGGACACAGTACTCCAGGTGAGGTCTGACCAGAGCAGAATACAGTGGCACTATTACTTCCCTTGATCTAGATGCTATACTCAGTTCTGTGCTGGGTGCCAGAAATCTCTCTGCTCTGCTTTTCTGCCTTCACCCTCCCTGGGGTTCAAGAGCTGCCATGCAGAGGACCCTTCCAGGTTCTCAACACCTTGTAGGTGGGATTCCATCACAGGTTGCCAAATTTAGGTTTCTGCCCTCAGCGTTGATTTGGCGCTCTTAGGTTCCTCTTCCTCGAGGAGGAGTCCAGAATAGATTGGGAGCGGTCAACAGCAGCTGAAAAGGGGAGGAGGGTGGAGGATCAGAAGACCCCCAGTGGAAGGAGCCCTGATGGCTGCACGCTGCTTCTAGGATCAGAGACAGGATGGGAACAGCAAGAGGCTTAGAACGTGACTGTTGCAGCTAGTCCTGCATTTGAGCTTCCTCTCTGGTTGGCTACTGCCAAAAACAGGTCTCTGAACAGGATGGGCCCCCTTTGGCCTGATCCATGCCCAGAGCTCCCTCCTTGGGAGGGAGTTGAAGGTGTCCTGGTGTGTCCTCCATCCCTTGCTTTCCTTGCAATTCCTGTCCCATTTTATGACTCCTATCTCATCTTCGCTCTGTCTTTATCTCCTCCACCCTTAACCTTTGTCCCAGGCGACACCCTTGGGTTGCACAGACCTTTGGGTCCCGGCCTTATCAGTTCTGCACAGAGCTTAGCCTGGTGTCAGTGGTGCTGGCTCCTGGAAGGTGGCATGTAAAGCAGGAAGAGGAAGAGTGTTCCTGGATGTGCATCCCACCTCTAGTTGGTCCCCAGTGGCTACAGGACCCACAGACACCTTGGGGAGGGAGAACATGAGAAGAGCTTGCTGGATCAGGCCAGAGACCCACCTAGTCCAGCCTCCGGTTCTGCCTGTGGGAAACAAGCAACTGGGATTCAGAAGCATTGCCAGCTGGAGGCAGAGTGTAGCTTTTGCAGCTCATGGCCACACTTGTGTTTAAGAACATGGATAAACAGGTTTTTTAACAGAGGATGGGCGGCCCTCTGTCATTCTCTAGCTGTCATTCCTGCATTGGACTAGATGACCGCAAGGGTCCCTTCCTGCTCCACAGTTCTATGATTTTCATGTATCTCTAATAAATAATAATAATAATAATAATAATAATAATAATAATAATAGTAATAATAATAATAATAAATTGTTTATACCCCTCCCATCTGGCTGGGTTTCCAGCAAAATATTAAAATACAATAATTCATGAAATATTAAAAGCTTCCCTAAACAGGACTGCCTTCAGATGTCTTTTAAAAGTCCGATAGTTCTTTATTTCTTTGACATCTGATGGGAGGGCATTCCACAGGGATGGCGCCACTACCAATAAGGCCCTCTGCCTGCTTCCCAGTAACTTCTCACAGGGAGGGAACCGCCAGAAGACCCTCGGGAGATGGACCCCGGTGTACGGGGTGGAGACTGTTTAGGGCTTTCAAGGTCAGTGCCAATACTTTGAATTGTGCTCAGAAACGTACTGGGAGCCAATGTAGGTCTTTCAAGACTGGTGTTATATGGTCTCGGTGGCTGCTCCCAGTCCCCAGTTTAGCTGCCGCATTCTGGATTAATTGTAGTTTCCGGGTCACCTTCAAAGGCAGCCCCACAGTAGGCCGCATCTCAAAGCTGTGTCCAAGTCCCATTTTGTGTCCCTCTGTCTTAACCTCTTCTCTCTCCTCCACAGAGCATGAGAGGCACCTTCGCGCCAACGACCGAGCCTTCAACCTCCAGTTTGAATATGCCGTAAGTAACTGGGCACCAGCAGATGCGTATTCTAGCCGAGCTCGAGCCAAATGGTCGCAGAGCAAGAGCTGGTGCCTGGTTAGAGTTGCCACTTGGAGAGTGTGGGGAGCAGGGATCCTGAGCTCGGGGGTGTGGTGTGTGGCATTGCTCTGCCAGTGGGGGGGGCAGCACCTTGCAGTTGCCAGGCTGAGTATTGCACACTGCCAGTTAGAGAGTTGCACTAGGACCTGAGAGACCAGGGTTCAAATCTCCCCACTTGGCCATGATGTTCTCTGGGTGACCCATCCCAAGGGGCGGCTGATGGGTGCTTGAATGGCATCTGGGTGTGTTTGTATTGCTGCGGCTCTTCCAGCTGGCAATGGGGTCCTGTTGTTGAGTCGTTTAGTCGTGTCCGCCTCTTTGTGACCCCCTGGACCAGAGCACGCCAGGCCCTCCTGTCTTCCACTGCCTCCCGCAGTTGGGTCAAACTCATGCTGGTCGCTTCGAGAACACTGTCCAACCATCTCGTCCTCATTCGTCCCCTTCTCCTTGTGCCCTCCATCTTTCTCAGCATCAGGGTCTTTTCCAGGGAGTCTTCTCTTCTCATGAGGTGACCAAAGTCTTGGAGCCTCAGCTTCAGGATCTGTCTTGGAAACCTGCAAAAGCAGGAACTCAAGCAAAGCTCCCACTAAAGAGATGTTTTCAGGGAGCAGAAAAGGGGAGCAGCCAGAGCATTGCAGAGCTCTGGACAGCCCTGCTGGCGCCATGGCACTGGGCTTCTTTTCCCCATTGCAGCCCCCCAATGAAGTGCGGGGAGCATTTTCTGGGGGGAAGTGGTGGGGCTGAGGCAAGTTGCTCAGACTTGTGCTTCCTAGGTGCAGGACAAGCTGAAGTGTGGGTGAGCCCTCCGTGGAAGCAAAGAGCCCCACTGCACCCCCACAGATGGAGAGAGTCTCTGGGGTGTTCTGGGTGCACACCACAGACAGCCCTTGCAGTGCTGGCAATGGCTCACCCCAGGGCTGGTGCAGAGTGACTTCCAGCCGAGTTCCTGGTGCTGAAGATACTTGGCAAACCAGTCCCCTTCCTCCTCGTGAGGCGTTTTCCTGCCACAGAGCCTCAGGGCCAGGGAAACCTCAGCTTCCCGTGTGAACCTGTCACCGGACTGTACCTGTTTGTTCCTGCATTAGCTGAGCAGAAGGCTGTGCAGGAGCGAGGAGGAAGGAGGCAAGAGGGAGGAAGCCAAGGAGCCTGACAGCCTGTGCCAAGGATGCACACAAACACACGCCACCTTTTCCGAATCTCACGTTGTCAGTTGCCCTGAGATCCGCCAAGCCTCCTCTCCCTTCCCAAAATAGTGCTGTGGATTCCCACTCCTTGCTGCGAACTGACACCTGAAGCTGCTCCGTTGTGCAGGAAGGCTTGAGTGAGAACAGGAGCCCCCAGCTGGTGAGCAGCCCAGGGGGGCCAAGGCCTGGCAGGAAGAAGGTGTGATCACATTGCAGGCCTGGAAGGAGGAGGAGGAGGAGGGAACAGACCCTCAGAAGAGCCCTGCTGAATCAGGCCACAGAAGAGCCAGCTCGCCCCAGCTTCCCATTTTCACTGCTGCCAACCCAATTGCCTGTGGGAAGCCCACAAGCAGGGCATGAGCACAAGAGCTCTCTGCCCACCAGCAGCTGGCATTCAGGGGAATAATGCCTCTGACACGGAGCGCCTTTCTCTCCGTGAATTTGCCCAGGCCTCTTATGGGCAGCTTAGGGGGCAGCTGGCTCCGTGGAGACTCCTCTGTCCAGGCATGGTGCTGGCTGTCTCTGGAGCCAGGCACCCTGATCCTGATCATGAGACCCACACCTGACTCCCTTGAGGGATCAGGAGCTGGGATCCATTTGGGGTTTGCATCCCAGATGCCATTTGGAGGCGCATCCACGTTCTCAGTGAAATGGGCTCAGTCCAGCTTCCTGCCTGCACTTTGGTCCACCTTTATGTCCCACCGTTCTGCCCAGTGGCACCCAAGGCCACCATCCACTGGGGCTGACGAAGAAGGCCAACTTTGCTCACAGATCTCCTTAGCTGGGTTAAGGCGGAGGAGGGAAACCTGGTCCCTCTCCGCCCTTGTCTTTCTCTCTCTCTCTGCGTATCCGCGCTTGCCGTTTTGCCTTGTACCAATTGTAGGTGGCACCCTGCTAGGCCCGACCCTGGCATACGATGGGTCAGAACTCTGACCAGGAACAAGGCAGCTTTTAATATTCCAAAAGAAAAGGGGGAAACCAAATACAGAACAATTAGAGCAGTGTGCGTGGCAGAGAAGGAAGTTGGAGGGAGAAAAGAAGGGGTCGCTTTGGGGCATGTACAAATACGAGCTATTTTGGAAGCAAAAGCTGCTTTCTGGAAGGGCGTCCTATCTGCTGAAGACGGGTGTGTCTCTGAACAAGCGGCAGCTACAGTCTTTTAAAGCAGAGCTTGGCTGGCCCTCGGTCAGGGATTCTTGAGCTGCAGTTCCTCCATTGCTGGCGGTTGGATTAGATGACATTTGGGGAGTCATCTTCCAACTCCACAATTCTAGGATTCTGTGCTTGTCCTCCCACTAGGGCCAGTTGGTCAAGGTGGTGGACCCTGGGGCAGAGAGAGAGCCCAGGGCCTGCATCTCCCGCTTCTTCCTCTGCTGACCAGCCCTTTCCCCTTTTCGGCAGACAACTTCCCAGAAGCTCCTCCGAGGTCGAGGGGGGCTGGGAGCAGAACAGTTGGTGGGGGGCTGCCTGTCTGGAGTGTCTGGAGGCGGCCAGGCTGAGGAGGAGAGCAAATGTCTTTGAGGAGGAAACGGGCTGGCCGGCAGCCTGGCCTTGGCTGTCAACCAGCCCAGCTGCCCAGGGTGGAGGAAAGAGAACCGGGCGCCTCTTCCGAGAGCAGAGAAGGCGCTTAAAGGCACAGCAGCCGCAGCTCAGACTGGCTGGCCTGGCCTTGGCTGCCTGCTCTGGTGCTGGGGATCCTGGCTTGGCCACTGAGCACGTCCCATGCGATGCCCCTGGAGAAGGACCAGGTCATAGAATCCTAGAATGGTAGAGGGACCCCGAGGGTCACCCTGTCCAACCCCCTGCAGGAACATGCAGCTGCCCCATAGGGGGCTGAACCTGCCCCCTTGGTGTTATCAGCAGCACCAGCCTCTGACCAACTGTGCTATCATGCAAGCATCAAGGCTGGCAAGGAGGCAGCTGGGCCAAGGCAGAAGAGCTCAGGATACCAGGAGACTCCTGCAGTGACTCAGGGACGGAGCAAATCCCCAGCATCAGCATCTTTCCTGCAGTGGCCAAGAGGCAGCAGGGCCATAACCCTCCTGTGCTGATTCTCCCCAGCCAGAGGTTTCTAGAGTTAGACTGCCTCTGAACATGGAAGCTCCAGTAAAGCTGTCATGACCAGAACCCACGGCCCGATCTACCCTAAGCAGTTCCCAGGCATAGATCTAGTCCCATGGGCACCTTGGCTGCTCTTCAGAGTCCTGCCTTGTGCAGCCGTGGACTTTGGCAGCAGGGGAAGAATCCAGTCACCCATCCCTGGATTCAAATGACAAGAAAGGAGAGTCTAAACAGAGTTTGGATGAGCGCCTATTGGAGATTCGGTTGCTGCAATTCCTGCATTTCAGGGGGTTGGACTAGATGACCACTGGTGTCCCTTCCAACTGCAGTTCTGTGATTCTGTGACATGAAGGGCCTCCTGCCAAGGCTCACTGCTGCAGCCCTCTTGGCACCCCCAGGATGTGGTCCTGTGCAGCAAGAGAAATGGAGGAAGCTGGGAAGAGGAAGCTATTGCAAGCCCAGGCCAGGTGCGGCTGCTTGTCTTGAGCCCCCAGCCAGTTGCGAGCTGGCACATCGCAGCTAGCATGGCAGGGAAGCAGGGCTGCAGCCTCTGCCTGCCAGTTCACCCAGAGGTGAATGAGATGCCTTTCCGTCTCACTCTCACTGGCCTCCCAGTCCGGCTCAGCCGGGGCAGACTCTTTCTGAGAGGTGGCTGGAGGAGCTGCGAGTGCTTGGCCTGGAGGAGAGAAGACTGATATCCAATATCTTTCGATATCTCAAGGGCTGTCACATGGGAGAGGGAGCAAGCTTGTTTTCTGCCGCTCTGGAGGGTAGGACTCGAACCCATGGCTTCAAGTTACAAGGAAGGAGAGTCTGAATAAACATCAGGAAAAACTTTCTGATGGCAAGAGCTGTTTGGCTTCAGGGTGGAAGATGGTGGCCTCTCCTTCCTTGGAGGTTTAGAAGCAGAGGTTGGAAGGCCATCTGTCAGGGATGCTTCAGCCGAGTCTCCTGCATTGCAGCGGGTTGGACTAGATGACCCCCGGTGTCCCTTCCAACTGTCTACAATTCTATGGTGCTGTGATTCTCTGGCAGAGCGCTTGCGCAGGGCAGAGGGGGGTCTCCTTGGGAAGGGAATGTTTCTGTTGCAACTTAGCAATCATATGGGGGAGGATTACGGCAAGCTCAGCACGGAAGGTGCTTAATGATGAGCATGTGCCGAGTGCTAATCACCCGCTCATCTTCTCTCTGCCACAGTCAGACAGAGCGCCTGTTAAACACAGCAGGAGGACCCAAAACTCTCCCACAGGAGGTGGAGGCAGTGCTGTGCGTTGCAATCCGTGCCGAGTGGTTGCTTAGCTCCACCGTCTCCTAATGACCGAATCCCCAAAGGCGTCAAGAGCAGGGGGTGCTGAGCCAGCGCGGCTGCTCTCTGGGGCATCTCCCCAAATTTAGGAAGCTTCTGGCAGCCTGAGCGGCCAAGGGAGAAGCCCAGAACTTGATGGCACCAACTAAGCCCCCAGTTCAGCATCGCCCTGCGTGCGAAAGAGTTTGCACGCACATTTCTGTGTCTAGAGGCACTCTAGAAATGCGTCTCCACATTTCTGCAAGCAATAATCCTGCATCCTGTTTATGTATCCGGGAGAACATTCAGAAACTTTGCAGAACTGGGTGTGTGAGCTGAGCCTCCTTCCAGAGCTGCTGGGTTTGGCTCAGTTCTGCCAAAAAGCTTGGGATTGGGGTCCTCCTTTGCCTTGCAGTCCTGGGCGCCACAGGATTTTAATTTAAAAAGAAGGAAATTGACAAGTAGGAAGGGGTGTGGAGGACAGCGACCAAGATGATCCAGAGTTTGGAAACCCAGCCTGATGAGGAGCGGTTGAGGGAACTGGGGATATTTAGCCTGGAAAAGAGGAGACTGAGAGGCGATAGGAGAGACGTCTTCAAAAGGGGCTGTCACACAGGAGATGGAGCAAGCTTGTTGCCCCCTGCTCCAGGGGGAGGATCCAAACCAATTCAAAGCTCAAGAAAGGAGGTTCTGACTTAACATTAGCAAGAACTTCCTGATGGGAAGAGCCATTTGACCTCCCTCAGAAGGTGGTGGACTCTCCTGCACTGAAAGTTTCTGAGCTGTTTGTCAGGGATGCTTTAGCTGCGATTCCTGCACTGCAGGAGGTGGGACTAGATGGCCTTTGGGGGTCCCTTCCAACTCTACAATTCTATGGTTCTATTCTTCTATATGATGGTGGAGCTCGTGTCTCTGACTAGCCATCTCAGGCCCTCTCTCTGCTGCATCCTGGCTGTCCCTGGCTGGTGCTGCGTCCCACTGGCCCCATCTTGAGGCTCTGTGAGTGTTTGGTGCACCTTCCCGGATCAGGAGATTAAGAGGCGCAGAGAGCAGAGATGGGACATTTAACTCTCAGCAGGCCCCTAAATGAAACTGCCGAAGTGCCTCTGGAGGCGGGTTGAGCTTCTGAAAAAGCAGCTCCCTGTAAAGTGATGAGGGGTTCTCTTTTTTTGCACTTTCATGGGGCCAAGAAGGAAACGTGGTTGTTGGCGCTTGGCTTGGGGTGGATCTGAAAGCGAGGCCCCCCATTCTCTCTGCCTCCATCCAGGGAGCCCCTGATTCTTCACACCTTCTTCTGAGCCACCAGGTGTCAGGAACCGTGCTGAGGAGGAATGGTGGGAGCCTTCCCTCTCCCCCTGCTCCTGATCAGGATCCTGAACCTTCCCAGGAGCAGGAGGACAGTATAGATTTGGAACAGTGGTTTGCAGAGGGGCATTTCACAGAAGGCAGAAGCTGGGAAATACTAGGTGGGGAACAACTAGGAGACAAAACACTGGGAGAGAGAGTTAACAGACTCCCTTTTGCTGGAAAGTGTCCATCTGCTCAGCCCAAGGTCAAGGAGAGCAGATAAGGGGTGGCAGCACAGAAAGCAAAGTGGTTGCGAGATCAGGTTGCAAGACACGGAAGTGATGGGGGTGATTAGGGGGAAGTGGGTGGGGGCACCTTCATTCCTAGAAATAGATTCTTTGTTCTCTCACTATGATCATTAAAACTTCTAACTGGTAAGAGACTCCTTTCACTTTGTTCTACTTGTTGTTGTTGTTGTTTAGTCATGTCCGACTCTTCGTGACCCCCTGGACCAGAGCATGCCAGGCACTCCTGTCTTCTGCTTATCTACTGCCAAAGGGGGGGGGAGCTGAGTCCCTGAAGCAGCTCTTTGTATGTCATATTAGCTGAGGAATACTCTGTTTCTCCTGAGGCAGCAAGGAAACTCTTGGGGTGGGGGCAAAGGCCAGGGACAGTGAGGGGCTTCTGCTGACTCACTTTCTCCATTGCTTGTGGGGATGAAATGGAGACCCTGCCCCCCATCCCCCCACCCTTTGTGGTGTCTTGCAGAATTCTCCTCAGTTCCTCCTGCGCTCTCCCCCCCCCCCATGTTTCCACCTTCCCCCACCCCGACTGCCAGTGGCTCCCAAAGTGCGTGGTACCACCCCAGGGGTTGGAGGATTACCTAGGGGCGCTAAGAGTCAAGGGGTAGCAGGGAGGGTGAAGGAGGTGTAAATGACAAGGAGACTTTGCAAAGCTGGTAGTACTGGATCAAGTTTGAGACTTTTGTTGCCATAATTAAACCGAATGGTTTTAATGGGATTTTGAATGAATGTGCAACTGATCACTACTCTTTTGAATTTTATTGCGTTTTACCTTTCTGAGTGCTTCGTGGAAGCTGCTGTTCTGAATAATGCTTTTGATAGGTTATGGTGGGACACAGGGGGTGAGCTTATGGGAGTTTGGGAAGCATGGGGTCAGGACCTCTTTGCAGCCCCCTTGTAGATCAGGCTCTGGTCAAGGAGGTGGGTGGCTCAGCTTGGGACCAAGTGGCTGCCTTCGGAGGGGGGGCGGGTTGCTGGCGTGCTGCCCTCCTTGTCTGCTGCCAAGGGGAGGGAAGTGGACCAGATGCCCCTTTCTCTCCTGGCCTCAATCACAGACTTTTCTTCCCGCAGAGAAACTCCATCCAAACTTCCAAGTACAACGTCTTCACCTTCCTGCCTCTCAACCTGTTTGAGCAGTTCCAGCGGGTGGCCAATGCCTACTTCCTCTTCCTCCTCATTCTGCAGGTAGGAGTTCCCCAGCTCCTCCTCCTGTCTCTTCCCTCGCTTTTCCTGCAGGGACGCTCCCCTTCTGCATCCGCAGGCAGCCTTCCCCAACCTGGCGCCCTCTTCCATCACCCCTGCCAACTGGTTGGTGGTGCGCTGAGCCCCTGGCAGGGAAGCAGGGCAAAGCTGGATGGTGACCCTTTTAATGAACACTTTATAGAGCCATTCGACAGCCGAACAGACTCCCTCCAAAGGAGACTCTCCCTCCTTGGAGATTTTTTGGGCAGAGGCTGGATGACTGTCTGTCAGGGAATCTTGATCTGGGATTCCTGCATGGCTGGGGGTTGGACTTGATGGCCCTTGGAGCTCCTGTCCATCTCTGCAATTCTAGGCTGACTCTGTCATGGAATTCTACTCAATATTGATCCAGAGCAGATTCCAATGTATATTATGTGGTGGAGATGGCTGCATGGGCTCCCAGAGCGGTGGCCCTGCTGTGCACCTGGGGGCGGGGTGATCTCCCGCACGCAACGGCAGCAGCGGGGCGCTGTGCACGGGGGCGGGGGCTCAAGCCCCCCACGGTGTGCCTTTTTGTCACCCCCCTCACGGGTGACACCCGGGCCTACCACCCCCCTTCCTATGCCCCTGTGTATAGTAAGCAGAGTGAAAACTTAAACACGTTGCAGGATTCCCAAAAAGTAGACCAGAGGCCATTGTATTTCATCCAGCAGAGCTTTATAGCTACTGAAGGTAAATGAGCATCATGGTCACAAATGCAAAAAAAATCAGGATTGGTCCTGTCCATAAGAAGTCCAGTTGCAGCAGACTTAACTTAAACTTACAATAATAATAAGCCTTAACACTAAGCGTACTATGTACAGAATAGTACACCAGAAGGAAGAGAGACAGAAAGAGAAAGTGAAACCTAGGCTCCTTCTGGCCTTATTATTAATATTGTCAGCATGACCTTGACAGAAGAGATAACAGAAGAATTTAAACCAGCTGTACTCAGCTTCCCAGAAGGAATAACCAAACACCATGAACCTTCTGCTTGTTTCTTTTACGCAGAGAAGGTTCCAGAACCCTCTTGAATTTGTTAGAATAGGAAAGATCTCTGCACCTCAGATCAATACTTTCTGCACTCAGAAATGCAAACTGACAGACTCTGCCTGTTCTCCCCCCCCTGCAGCTCATCCCTGAGATTTCTTCCCTCTCCTGGTTCACCACGGTGGTCCCCCTCATCTTGGTGCTGGCCGTGTCGGCAGCAAAGGACGCTATTGACGACGTGGTAAGAATTTTGAGCCTGCAAACGCCTCCCATAAAGAGCTTTAGCACAAGCACCCAGCTTCCTCTTTGCACCCGGTGGGCCTCCAAGCGTTGCCTTCCTGGCCTGGAAGGGTCTGGCCATTCTGCAGTCAGCATGATGTGGGACAGTCACAAAAACAAATTAACTGAAAAAGCCACAAAAACACAAAATAGCAAAAACAAAAGCACCAAACTTACTCCATTCTGGAAGTCTGTTTGACTTCCAAAATGTTTGAAAACCAAGGCCCAGCTTCTGATTGGTGCAGGTGCCCCGGAAACAATAGCCAACAGCCGCATAGGATGTCCAGCTTCCAAAAAATGTTTGAAAACTGGAACACTTACTTCTGTGTTTTTGGTGTTTGAGAATCAAGGCGTTTGAGTACCGAGGTACCACTGTAATTCTGTTATTTGCACCCTGCCCATCTGACTGGGTTGCCCCAGCTGCTCCATCATATACAAAAACATAATAAAACATAAGGGGGCAACACTGATGTCTAGGATACGCTGCCAGAGGGAGAGAGGCTAACTTCCAACTCCCTGTCTGAGTTCAGGTTCCATCTTTGCCTTCCATGTTTTCCAGAATCGACATGCAAACGACAAGCAAGTCAACAACCGTCCTGTCAAGGTGCTGATGAACGGCAGGTGAGCAGGGCTCTCTCCCCTCGCGACAGCCTCGTCAGGCTGCCAGCATCATCCACAGTTCCCTCCCCCCCGTCCCCAGGGAAAGCTGCTCTTTAGTGCTCCATCGGAACAAATGGCAATTCAGGTTTTCTCCGTTAACAAACAGGTTTTCTGTTATGTCTTGAGCTTGGATCCCAGAACAATAGGCAGGTAGGATTGTAGAATGCAGTAACTTGATTGGCCCATAGGAGCTGTCCAATCCAGGAGGGGAGTTTGAATCAGCCTATCCAGTGTGACTGATGGTGTCCAAAAAGTATATATAGCCTGGGGGTCTGGGTAGGGCTGCACCGATTCCTACAGGATGATTGACTGTTTTCACTGTGAGTTGAAATAAACACAAGGAGACCGATGGCTCTACACTGAGTTTATTTCATTTCGCCTGGAAAAGGAGCAGGGCAAGGGGGAAATTGCTCAGACACAATCTTTCTAGAAGTGGAAGTGTGGGTTAGGCGAGGGACTTGGGTTCGAGAGCAACGGAAAGTGTGTTTGGAAGGTAGCCATGCCCTTGCCCCTTCTCCCCCCACCCCCAAATCCCTGAGTCTCTGAGCTGAGACCTCAGACCCAAGACGCCCCTTGTGAAAGGCGGCCGCTGTTGGACTTCCTTCGCCAACTGAGTCTGCGCAGCAACTGGGGCAATGGAATAAAAACTTGCCCACAATATCTTTGCTTATCTTTATTTTAAGCTGCAACTCACCGCTCTGCACCAGCCAGTACCATACAAAGCATTTGATCAACTTAAATACAGTTTTCAAAATAATCAATTACCCTATCACATCACTGCATTCGGTGCAGCAGGTAAACACCGCCCCTCCCCCGCTAATTAGTTAAATTGTTAAGATGCCACAGGTGTGTGGAATTGTTAAGCGCTCACAGATGTGCTGCCATGCAGGTTATAATTACAAACACCTCTGAGTAGCACCATTGACCACATCAATATGAAGAAAACCCAACAGCCACTCCTTTGCATGGCTGGAAGCCAGATGAGCCCAGAATCCCTTCTGGATGGAGCCAGACTTTCCTTGCCTTAGAGATCCTGGGGGCTCTGCTCTAGGGGTCTAGGCAGCCCCTGTGACGGTGGGGGGGGCTGCTTCGCTCTCTTTCCCCAGGCAGAGGAAGCAAAGGCAGAGGGGGGCTGGGGGTGCAGAGCATGCAGCCCCCCTTCAGCCACCAGGGAAGGGGGCAAAGCGGCTGGATCCACTTGCGGGTGTGTCTGCCAGCCCCACTGCAAAGCCAGGCCCATCCCCTGGCTGAAGGGCTCCCTGTGGGGTCTCTTTTCTCATTACTCTCGATTCATTCGTAATCGGCTTAGGCGACACATTTCCTCTGATATCCCACCTTCCCTTGAAATTAAAATTGAGGCACCAGGAGAATTAAGAGCATCAGAGTCCATCAAATGCTAATTAGCCTTTTCAGAATTTGCTAATATAAGAGGCAGAATAAAACAGGCGACATTTTATCCAATGTTTTAGTGCTTTTACTGATAATTTTATTGTTTTATTCTCTTTGTAAACCACTTTGAGGGGTTTTTATTTTTTTACAATCAAGTGGTATGGAAATTTTATGAAATAATCATAATAAAACGACAACAACTGCATACACACCCTGGGCTTCTGCCTGTGTGCTGATTAAGTGTGGTTTTCTTCCAGCCTGAAGGATGATCTGTGGCTGAATGTCGAAGTTGGGGACATCATCAAGTTGGAGAACAACAACTTTGTGACGGTGAGTGCTGCTGTCTGGCCCAGCTGCCCCCCCTTCACTCCTGGGGCTACAAAGGCGCCTTTGAACTCCTTTGGAGACACAGTTCCAGAGTTGTGTCTGGCTCAAGGACTCTGTCCTCCCAAGTTGGGCACCCCAGACCCCTGCCCTGCTCTCCATTATTGCCTCAGACACAGAGGGAAAGGGAGAGATAGAAATAGAGAGGTGGAATCTACACACATTTTAAAAAGTTCTAAAAATTCTTTTCTTAAAAGCATATTAAAGAATACATTGAATTTTCCATAAGCCTCACCATCACCATCTAGTGTCACATTGTGTATTGCACTGAAAACACACTTAAATTGTTTTATTTGCAGCTGTATAGCTGAGTCCAGGGACGCGGGTGGCACTGTGGGTTAAAACCCCTGAGCCTAGGACTTGCCGATCAGAAGGTCGGCGGTTCGAATCCCCGCGACGGGGTGAGCTCCCATTGCTCAGTCCCTGCTCCTGCCAACCTAGCAGTTCGAAAGCACGACAAAGTGCAAGCAGATAAATAGGTACCACTCTGGCGGGAAGGTAAATGGCGTTTCTGTGAGCTGCTCTGGTTCTCCAGAAGCGGCTTAGTCCTGCTGGCCACATGACCCGGAAGCTGCACGCCGGCTCCCTCGGCCAGTAAAGCGAGATGAGCGCCGCAACCCCAGAGTCAGCCATGACTGGACCTAACGGTCAGGGGTCCCTATACCCTTTACCTAGCTAGTAGTCATCAATCAACTTTGTATCCTCCATTAATTTCTCCAACCCCTTATTTAAAGCCATCTAACTTGGGAGCCATCACGGCCTCCTGTGGCAGGGAGTTCCACAGTTCATAGGAGGCTCTAATTGCCCTGCGAAATAAGTTGCAAAATCCGGGACCTTTTTCTTAAGGGAAGGAAGGATGAATGGATGGAGGTTGGTGGTGCCTCTCGCCACGCGCTCTGCCCCAAGAGCCGGGTCTCCTGTCACTCTTGCCTCTTGGTGTTCTTTCCCTCCAGGCAGACGTGCTACTGCTGTCCAGCAGTGAGCCCCACAGCCTGACCTACATTGAGACGACCGAACTGGATGGGTGAGTATTGCCACTCCCTGGACAGCTGCCGATGCAATGGCAGCCCTGAAGTTGCAGACATAAGAAGGGGCCTTTGGGGACCGGAGCTGGGGGTCTGCAGGGCTGTTTGAATTTTATTATTACGGTCACAGACCAGTTCCGACTCACTTACAATATCAGGAAAATCATAAAACACAACAGGAATACATTGAATTGCAATTGGGTATAACTGATACAATTCAGATATAGCGGCAGTTAAAAAAATATATTACATCTTGATCACTAAAATATAACCTAAAATTGTCATTTAAAACCTTAGTCATTTTGGTAGTACAGCTTGTTCCCTAAGTTTTATGGCAGTTGCACAGAATTTGGACACCCTTAGCGTAATCTCTAGATCCTCGTCCTCTACCAGGGATTTTAGACATTGAATTTCGAACCCATTTGGAGATTTTTGTATAACAGGAGTGATAAATACCGAGCATATATCCCCGTAGAAACAGCAGCGTAACAAGACATGAGAGACAGTTTCTACCTTCATCAAGCCACAGGGGCAGACTCGTTCCGCGTATTATGGTTTACCCTCGAATCTGCCCTGCAATAAGGCAGGTGGCAGCATGTTGAATCTAGCGAGGGTAAATGACCGTCTGTATTTGGGTACTGCTGTTTGGTTACAGACTGGACTGGATTAAAGTGCTGTTAGGAAAGCGATAAGGAAATGCATTGAAAAGTATGGAAGGAATCAAGCAAGGGTTGGAAATGTAAAGAGAAAGAAGGTTCTTTTTACCGTATGTGGTGGTCTTGTGGTAAGATTAAAAGCTTACTGGGAAATGATATACAATGAATTGAAAAGGATGTTTAAAATAACTTTTGTAAAAAACAACAACCAGAAGCTTTTCTTTTGGGAATCATAGGGATAGAACTACCTAAATTGTACAGAAATTTATTGATGTGTGCTACTACAGCAGTAAGAATGCTACTGCCCAAAAGTGGGGAGATGGATACAAAAACTTATGGAATATGCAGAAATGGCGAAACTTACCGGAAGAATAAGAAATCAAGATAACAAACTTTTTATAAAAGAATGGAAATGGTTTATTGAATATTTACAGATAAATTGCAAACAGATAAAAACATTGGCAGGATTGTTGTAATAACCTGCCATTTTATAAGAGTATATATTTAAAGTAGATAATTAAATGAGCAAATGAACTGAATTTGGATATGCAGAAGATATTAAAAAATTAATCTAAGGAACTGCAGGAAGGGGGCAAGGAAGTCAAACTTTGCAATGTTAAATTGATGATAAAACTAATGAAATGTATAAACTTGAAAAGTATAAATAAGAACTTTAAAAAAAAGAAAAGTATGGAAGTAAGGAATGATTGTTAGGACAATGTACAAGCATCCCATGAGCAAAATGGAATGAATGCTCATTATTGCATAATCTCCCTGCAAATGAAGCCAAACAAATGAGCAGTAAGGACTGGATACAAACTTCTGTCCAAACTTTGTGCAAAAAAATCAGGATGAATGCTCAAGAAAAAGGTTGTCTGGATGATGGCTGGCAGTCAGCAGCCATTGTGCAAAGCAGGATCGTGCTTGGGGACCCTCATTGCAAGGAGCAGGATGCGGCCGAGTTGGGGGGGGGCACGACCCACCAGTCAGCTGCAGGAACTCCAGACCGATACTGATGAATTGGAAAAATAAAAATGTGGCTCCCTTCTATGATTGGAATGAAGACTTATACAAACTCACAACATATGAACAACTTTCACATAAACACAGAATTGCCATGGACAAATTAAAGGATATTTGGAATCCATTCTTACTAATACTGTAATAGGTTAAGATCTGGTGAAGTACAAATAACAACCTTGTAAAGTAGAGAGTTTTGGGTCCCCTCCCCTTTATTTTCCCTTCGACACAGGTTCTCTTTCTCTCTTATTTACGTCTCACAATGTTTAGTGCACATATAATTATGCCCTTTCTGAACTTTCAATAAAATAAGGGAGAAAAGGGAACTCAAGCGTGGGAAGGAAGGACCTGGTGGTTTTGCGTCTGATCCAATTTCTCATTGCAGGGAAACCAACCTGAAAGTGAAGCAAGCCTTGACGGTCACGGCTGAGCTGGGAGAGGATCTGCAGGCGCTGAGCAGCTTTGATGGTGAGTGCCCAAGGGAGGAGCTTGGCAGCCCCACACGCAGGGGGGCTGGGGAGCCCGGGGGGGGCGGCAGGAGCTGAGCTGCAAGTGAGAGGGGCTCCTGACACCCCAGCCAACAGGGGGCGGCCCTGCTGCTCTTGGATGCACACATGGTCAGGGCCAGCTCCAGATGTTTTGGCACCAGAGGCAAACCACAAATAGTGCCCCTCCCCACCAGGGAATTCCTGCATTGCTGGGGGTTGGGCTAGATGACCCCCAGGACCCCTTTGAGTCTATCTACACCAGGAATAAGAAGGGGAATCAAATCAACCTTAAGCCCATGGTTTAAATGGGAATCCATCTAGAATTGGAAGGGACCCCGTGGGCAGTCTAGTTCAAACCCCTCTAATGCAGGAATTGCCGTTGAAGAGTCCCTGGCAGGTGGACCACCAACCTCTGCTTAAAAACCTCCAAGCAACCTCAGAAGAGCATCTGCTGGATCAGACCATAGGCTCACCCAGTCCAGCCTCCTGTTCTCCCATTGGCCGACCAGATGCCTCTTCTGGGAAGCCTGCAAGCAGGATCCGAACCCAAGAGCAAGTCTCCCCTCCTGGGGTTTCCAGCAACTGGGATTCAAAAGTATTGCTGCCTCCAACTGTGGAGACAGAGGAGAGCCATTGGGTCTAGGAGCCTTTCATAGCCCTCTCCGAATCCTCTTTCAAATGACACCATCTAGGTGTCAGGAGTTCAGCGTACACTTGAGTAGGACCCTGGCAGAGACACATGTGAATGGTTTTTTGGACAAGGGAGGGTGAGGTTTCGTTTGAGGCTGAGAAAGGCAGTGGCTGACCCTGCCAGGAGCTCATCCTACTCTCGAGTAGGATCCTGGCAGAGACACATGCCCGACTGGCGTGTTCCCTCCCTCCTGGTCTTTCGTTTGGGAGCTTCAAAAGCTTTCTTCAGCCCAAACATCACAGCGACCGATGCCAACCGACACCGGCACACTTAGGGATCCGCAGAGTTTGTGCAGTTCGCATAACAGACCTCAGCAACTCAGCATTTTGGCTAATCTACTTTATTTACATATAAACACACAGAGAGCACTGCAACATGGCTCCCTCTCTCTCTAGCATCAGACAGCAAAGAGAAAAAGAACAAAGGACAATAGTCCTACTTCATGGAACACAGTAACACAAACATCCTGTCTCCGTCACTTCCCACTCTGTGGAGTCAAACATATATCGTCATGTGAAAGACAGCAATCCCATGACTGCAATCATGGAGCAGGAATTCTAACATCAGGTTGGTGGCCATCCCTGCCTTTTGCAGGAGCAAGTTCCATAGTCTGACTAAACCAAAGCGTTCCAACAAAATGGAGAAGAGCCCCCCACCTTCAGAGGTCATGGTCACCTCCTCCCCCCTCTGCCATACAGAAATCTCAGCTCAAGCACCCAGGACAGGTGGCCCTCCAACCTTTGCTGAGAAACCTCCAAGGAAGGAGATTCCACGGCCTCCCAAGGGAGTCTTCTGCACTCCTGAACAGCTCTTGCCCTCAGAAAGCTCTTCCTGATGTTGAGTCAGAATCTCCCTTCTCGCCCTTTGAATCCATTGGTTGGCTCCTGCGTGCTCTACGGGGGGGGGGGGTGAGGCCTCCCCCCACCTCACAGCCTCCTTTGGGGTCTCTTGATGTCCTCATGATCCTGAGAGCATCTTCATGGCTGGTGGGTCCTCCTCCTCCTCCTCCTTCTTGGCTCTCCCTCCTTCTTCACCTGCTCATCCCTGGCTGACTCTCCTTTTGACTTTCCTCGAATCACTGCATTGTAGAGTTTGAAGGGGACCAAAGGGGCATCTAGTCCAGCCCCCATTTTGTCCGCACAAACATTTCTACTTGCCAAGTGGAATGATCTCTCCACACATTTCCCCTACCACTGATCAACAAGCGGGGTTTTTGCAGAGACATGGCAGGTGAGCTTTCCGAGAAGCCAGGCTGTGCTTTGAGTTGAGTGCGACTGTGGGCCAGGGGACCTGGCGTTGGACAGCTCGGATTTTGGGGAGCTTTGCTGCCCTGTGGATCTCAGAGCCTGAAGATGAGGAAGGGAAAAGCAACTCTTGCAGCTCAGCCTTGCTCTGCAGATCATAAAGGACTTGGGATGGGGCAGGGAGGCTCATCTCAGGGCAAGGCAACTGCGCTGTGCAAGGTCCCCTCTTCAGTCCTTGGCAGAAACTGTGCAGGGATGGAGCCAATGAAGGGACAGGAGAAGGTGCAGCGCTGGGCAAGGGTGACAGGTAGCCTTTTTTGACCTAAGGCAGTTTGCATGTTCACACGCCAGAAAAAAGATGACTTCCTGTACGCAGGCTGAGACCCTACCTGCCCACAGACTGTCTCTCCAAAGTGGTGCATGCTCTGGTTTTCTCTCGCTTGGACTACTGCAATGTGCTCTACGTGGGGCTACCTTTGAAGGTGACCCGGAAACTGCAATTAATCCAGAAGGCAGCAGCTAGACTGGTGACTGGGAGCAGCCACTGGGACCACATAACACCGGTCTTGAAAGACCTACATTGGCTCCCAGGACGTTTCCGAGCACAATTCAAAGTGTTGGTGCTGACCTTGAAAGCCCTAAACGGCCTCAGCCCAGTAGACCTGAAGGAACATCTCCACCCCATCGTTCTGCCCGGACACTGAGGTCCAGCGCCAAGGGCCTTCTGGCGGTTCCCTCATTGCGAGAAGTGAGCTTACAGGGAACCAGACAGAGGGCCTTCTCGGTAGTGGCACCCGCCCTGTGGAATGCCCTCCCTTCAGATGTCAAGGAAATAAGCAGCTATCTTATCTTTAAAAGACATCTGAAGGCAGCTCTTTTTAGGGAAGTTTTTAATATTTAACGCTGTATTGTTTTTAACATTCGATTGGAAGCCACCCAGAGTGGCTGGGGAAACTCAGACAGATGGGCAGGGTATAAATAATAAATCATTATCATTATCATTATTTTATTATTATTATTCCTGGTGCAGATCCCTCCATCTTCAGGGCCCTGGAGGTTCCCAAGGATATTTCAAAGTCTTTGCTTAGTAGTTGCTGGGTTTTTTAAACGTCCTTTTGGCAGGCATTTTAACCCAGCAAAATCCCTTGGACGGGGTGGTTCTTTGGGCCACTGCCCAGAGTTCCCCCCTCTCATTCCTGGGCTCCTGGCTTGACCCTTCCATTCCCTGTCCAAGGCTTAAACAAGCGATTTGCAGAGGCCACATTTTCTCCAGAGTCTGGGAATAAACAACGAGTGTGAGGCCAGGATAGGGTGTGGGTGTGTGGATGACCCTTTGCATCTGTTTTTATGGCTTTGGTTTTCTGGTGCTATTCAGGGAAGTGGAGAGGAAGCAATATTCTGGGATGGAGGCAGCTCTTCCCTGAATGCTTTGAGGCAGAGAAACACAGATCACTTTCTGCCCCTGGAGGGGACACTCTCTCCAGCACTGTGTTGCCTGAAGCTGTAGGGGTTGTGCCAGAAGGTCAGATTAGCCCACCAACCATTTTTCAATATATATTAAAAAAAAATATTTCAGCACATAACATCATACAGAAAAATAATATCCCACCCGACACCGAAAGCTGGTGCTTGGACAATGTGTAGCAGATAACATCCCAGAAACATAATAAGCTATTATCCCAGACTTCTATCTATAGAGAAGGCAATGAACAGTTTCAATGAAGCAGAAAGTTTTATAATGTGAGCCTCCGTTTTAGCCATGCACATAGCCGAGCTGTGCCCATCACTTACAAAGGAGTCTTTGGGCTTCAAGCTTTGTGCCAATTTTATTTTATTCTTTAATTCTTCCGTAAGCGCTCTTTGACATAGTTTACTGTTCCAATGATCAGAGAAGCCCCTTTTGGGGTTCATCCAGACTTCCACCTCTCCATTGCTAGAAAGCACGGATCCAGGCAGTTTACCTCCTGCCCTGTGCCTTCTAGCCACAGGGCTGAGCTGTTTTGCCTTTGTCCCCCACTTCCCCCCAGAAAACCTCCTGTTCTGCCAATCTGGAGAAAACCCAGTTGCTGTTCGTTCCAATTCAGCGCTGAAACACAGGTTTTCCTGGGGGAAAGCAGCAGCAGCAGTGTGAATGAGCCCTAAGTTCTTCCACTATCTTGTTTTTATCAGCCTGGCTACAAGCAGAAAGAGAACTAACTAGAGTTTTGAGCAGCAAGTTAATTTTGTCTCCCGTGAAAAGATTGAGGAGAGCCAGCTCCGGACATTTTGTCCAGCAATTGCTTTTTTAATTGGACAAATTCTTCCTCGCAGAACCGAGCCACTTTCCCACATGGCCACCCCACAGCATTCTGCACCTCCTCCAGCCATTTGGTGCATAGGAGGAGCTATTATGGGCTACCCGTACAGGCGTGCGAGGTGCCATTTTTGCCCTATTTTAAGTGCCACCTCTTTTGCCGAGGCCGATTTAAAAGGAGGCATCCTCCACGTTGAGGTCCACCCCCCCCCTGCGCTGATAGCAACTGCCATTCAGCTTCCTCAAACCACCTGCTGTGTTGTCTGAAGCTGTTGTGCAGGGATCCTGTACCAGAAAGTCAGATTAGCCCTTTGGCCATTTTAGTCCTGGACTCTCGAGGGATCTCAGCAGCGACCCAGAAAACATGAATCATTCTGTAGGTTGTCTGAAGCCAGCAGTTTGGGGACCCTGTGTCCCTCCAGATGGAACTGAATCCCACTCTGTTCAGCCCTAACCAATAGTCCTGCTGGCTGGGGCTGATGGGATGCAGGGTCCTAGCAGCACCTGGACGGGAGGAGCTTTCTGCATGCAAAGAAGATGCTCTACCCGTGAGCCACGGCCTCTGCCCCTTTGGGGCAATCTGGCACGCTAGTGGGGGAGACAATAAACGGTGGTATTTTGTGCCAATGGTATTTGGAAATGCAGGGTTAAAGTGACAGAATTGATTCCTTGAGGAAGAGGAGGAGGAGGAGAGAGACCATAGAGAAAGAACTGGGTAGAGCAATCGACACAGGTCACAGCTGGCCAGAAATGTTACTAATCCGGCGTACAATGCGTCAACTGCACCTGAGGAAATTGCACTGCTATTCCATTCTGTGTGCATTTAAGAAAAACTGGTTTTCTGAGCTCTGGTGGGAAATGTCGGAGAGGGATGTTTGGATCATGATGAGTGAAGGAAAGTGTGGCTCTTCTGCAGGAATGTCAACACGTTGTCTCCCATCCAATTTGAAACCATACCGAACCCTGCTTAGCTCCGCAAAGGTGCCAGCGGGTCTATTGCTGCCCCACTAGGAGAAAGCCAAGGAAGTATTCCTTGCAGAAGCCACCCAGGATGGTGGAGCACTTTGCCTGCCAGGCATGGGGGGGGGGCAGAAGTTTGCCCAGAATTCCTTGTCTCCCCACAGAGATGTCTTGCACTGAGTGGCACCTGGTCCTGTGTGCCCACACAGGACCCAAGCCGGGCGTTGGCAAGGGTGCCTTGTCTTGTCCGCAGGGTGGGGGTGGGGTGGGGGGTGGAGAGGACACTGTGTTGCTTTCTGCCTCTTTCTTTCCCTCACCCCCCCCTTTCTCTTTGCAGATCTTTGCCCTCTTTGCTTCTCTTCCGAGTCCTTTCCTGCTTCAATTCACCCCTCTGGGTCCTAGTCCCACTCTGCCCTCTGGCCTCGCTTGCACACGTCCGCCTGGCGTTCCTCGGAGGGTGGGTATGCCAGCTGTGCCAGAGGAGGGGCAGGGCTGGCCGGGTTGAGGAGATGGCTGGCAGCTGCGGGCGCTGGGCTCCCTTTCCCTGGAGACGGAGAGAGGCTTTGCAGCTGCCTCCCAGGAGGGTCTCCAACCCAGCCCCCGCCCGGCACACCTGCCCCTTGGACAGAGCGCATGTTGCGCTGCCCCAGCACCAAACAGGTGGGGAGCTACCAAGGTGGGGGGGGCAGGGTGCAGAAACCCCACCTTGTTTGGATGTTGCCATGCTGACCCCCCTGGGCTGCTGTTTGGGGTGAATCCGAGATGAATCTTATAGAGCCCCCTTCTGGCATGTGGCTAAGGTTACCAGACGTCCCCGTTTCCCGGGGACAGTCCCCAGATTTACAAATCAGTCCCCTGGCAAAATCCTATCATTCCGACTCATTTCAATGGATTCATTGAAAAAAACCTGGTAACCTGAGGCTAAGGCCACACAGGCCCTTGTCCCTCGGTGGAGCGTGGGGTGGCCTCACAGCCTTTGCTCTCCTGATGCTGATACTGTCAGCAGGCAGAGCTGCATAGAATCCTAGCTCTGTAGTGTTGGAAGAGACACCCAAGGGTCATCTAGCCCAACCCTCTGCAGGAATCACAGGTTTTGACCTTTAAAGCCCTTTGTGGCTTAGGGCACTCGTATCAACGGGACCGCCTCTCCTGGTCTGCCCCGCAGAGGACCTTAAGGTCCATGAATAACCATAGTTTAAAGGTCCCGGGCTCTAAGGAAGCCAGACTATCCTCCACCAGGGCCAGGGCCTTTTCAGTGATGGCTCCGACCTGGTGGAATGCTCTGTCCCATGAGACTAGGGCCCTGCAGGATTTAACCTCCTTCCATCGAGCCTGTAAGACAGAGCTATTCTGCCTGGCCTTTAATTTGAATTCATCCTGATCTTTTATTTCCCTTCTCTTCCCTCCCCTCCTCTTTTATGAAGATCACCCGCTCTGAGACCCCACATCTAATTCTCCCCTGGCCTCCTCACTGGCCCAATATTTTATGCTGCTTTTATAATTAAGTGTTTTAAATTTGTTGTTAGCCGCCCTGAGCCCAGTTTTCTGAACTGGGAAGGGTGGGGTATAAATAAAATTTATTATTATTATTATTACTTGCTGTGAGAGGGCAAAGAGCACCTGAGCTCACCTGAGCGCCTTCTGGGCAGCTGCTGTTCCTAATGGGGAGAAGAGGAAACACATCAGAGAGAGTGCTGGAGGTAGACCACCGAGGCCCGAGTTCAAATCTCTGCCTGGTTATGAAGCTCTGACCCTCAGCCTTGCAGGGTGGCTGGGAGCGAAAAGGGGGAAGCCCTCCAGCCCCCTCCCTGCTGCGAGCTCCTCTCTGCTCCTTGGTTTGCCTCCATCCCAACAGAAAGGGCAGTCGATCTGATGTCCACCCAGATCTCCAGGCTCGGCCTGGGACTCCGGCCAGGGGCGGAAGGTGCCGACTCAGAGCGCCTGTTCTTTGCCTGCAGGCGAGATCAAGTGTGAAGCGCCAAACAACAAGCTGGACAAGTTTATGGGGACGCTCCTCTTCAAGGGGGAGAAGTACGCCCTGGACAACGAGAAGATGCTGCTGAGGGGCTGCACCATCCGCAACACGGACTGGTGCTTCGGACTGGTCATCTTTGCAGGTAAGAGCAGCTGGCCGAGAGAAGCAGGGGGAATGAAGTTAAGTGGTTTTAGCAGCAATGTTACAAAGGTGTATGTAAAAATGGATTGCTAATAGGTGTGAATCTAAAGTTATAATATATCAAGACAAAGGAATAAGATAAAAACAAAGAGGGAAAGGATTTGTTAAATTAACTAATTGAACTGGAATGCAAAAAAGGGAGGTGTGAGGAGGTCAGGGAAACAAGTAAATGAAAGACAAGATATGGAAAGACTGATTTGTTTTTAATTGTTCTTTATTTTTCTGCTTTTTGTATTTTCTTTTTTCTTTTTCTTATCTCTTTTTTATTATTGTAATTTTGTTTGAAACTTTAATAAATATCATTTTTTTAAAAAAAAGAGAGAGAGAGAAGCAGGAGGAAGGGACCAAACGTCTCTGGTGTAAAAGCCCCTCTCACTGGGATTGGGGTGGTGGTGGGGGCCTCTAGCTCTCGAAAGGGGTCTTCTGCCCACGGCTTGTAGGCTGGGGGGGGGGCACAGATAAGAGCCTGGCTTGAGGAGGTTTGAGGAGGCCCTCTGCTCCTAATGGGGCATTCTGTATGTCCAGCTGTCCTTTGTCAACAACAAATTGTCATTGTTTTTTGTGTGTTGAATATATGCTATATGGTCATTTATGGATCTGTATGTAGATTTTATTTTATTTTTTATCTTATATTTTGGAAATGTGCATCCAGTTTATTTTTCTCTGTCCCTTCCCCCACCTCTCGGAAAAGCCCCCAAGAGCCGTGCTCCCTTTCACGAGCCGCACAGAGCGTGTGTGCGGCTCTTGGGGGCTTTTCCCCGAGAAAAAGCCCTTCTCCCTCCTCGGGGAAAAGCCCCCAAGTGCCGCACACATGCTCCACGCGGCTTGTGAAAGGGAGCGCTGAGCAGAGCCTGGGATGCATACAGGCTCTGCTCATCGCTCCCCTTAAAGAATATTTTTTTTCTTGCATTCCCCTCTAAAAATTAGGTGCGTCTTATGGAGCAAAAAATAGGGGCGCGGGTGGCACTGTTGGTAAGAGCAAATTCAAAGGTCTTCCTTCATGTGTTGACCATCAACATCTTTGTACGTCTTAACAGCTCTCTACCCCTCCCACCCTCCCGTCCGACGATGCCCTGGTCTGGCAGACAAGCTTAAACTGCATATTTTTATTTTACACTGCGACACTGTCTCCCCCCCCCCAAGTGAAGACTTCAAGCATTTAGTAATTCCTAACATTTACTAGGGACGCAGGTGGCGCTGTGGGTAAAAGCCTCAGTGCCTAGGGCTTGCCGATCGAAAGGTCGGCGGTTCGAATCCCCGCGGCGGGGTGCGCTCCCGTTGCTCGGTCCCAGCGCCTGCCAACCTTGCAGTTCGAAAGCACCCCCGGGTGCAAGTAGATAAATAGGGACCGCTTTATAGCGGGAAGGTAAACGGCATTTCCGTGTGCGACTCTGGCTCGCCAGAGCAGCGATGTCACGCTGGCCACGTGACCCAGAAGTGTCTCCGGACAGCGCTGGCCCCCGGCCTCTTAAGTGAGATGGGCGCACAACCCTAGAGTCTGTCAAGACTGGCCCGTACGGGCAGGGGTACCTTTACCTTTACCTTTATGGAGCAAAAATATGGTAAATCTGGCACTGCTTGTGGGGCTGCCAAGCTCCTCCCTTCCCCAGATTCCTGCCTTGCAGGGGTTGGTCTAGATGAACCTCAGGGTCCCTTCCAACTCTGCACTGCTATGATTCTGCAAAGCACCTGCATCTCCCACAGGGCCCAGGATGCCCAGAGCCCATCCCACCTGGTGGCTTTGTGCAGGGGGGTCCCTCTGCCCCTTCTGCAGCCTGAAAGGGGGCCGACTCTCCTTTGGGCAAGATGCTGCCTGCCTTTGCCTTCCCTCAAATCCACCGGCGGCTGCCATTTCTCAGGGTCTCCTGCCTCCCAGGAGGTGCTTTGATCTGGAAATTAAAATCCGACAGTGCAGCAAAAAAACCAGACTTTTGTTTGAACTGCCAGGGCCAGACACCAAGTTGATGCAGAACAGCGGAAGAACCACCTTCAAACGGACCAGCATTGATCGCCTGATGAACTTCTTGGTGCTGGTGGTGAGTGAGAACGGCGGTTTCGCTCCATCTCTTGTCATTCCAGCTGAGGGGCTTCCTCACAAAAGCAGGGAGGGAGGGGGCATGAGAATAGCAGCAAGGGGGGGGCATGCATGGACTTTATTCATAAGAGATTTGGAAATAAATTATTTCTTCCCTCCTTCTTTGCAAGGACCAGGCAGCAACTAAAGTTCCTCACATCAGTAGATGGTAGATTTAGGGGAAAGGGTTAGAAATTTACTGGCATTTGCGAGGGGGGGGTGTTATTTCATGGATTAGCTATCTTTTACAATGTTGTTGATCATTAGTCAATGTTCTTTTACATAAACTCTGCATCTATACAGTGGGACATAGATGTTCTTCTGCTTTCTGCCCTCCCCTTTTCCTTGCAGATCTTTGTTCTTCTGGCTGCCATGTGCTCGGTGCTGGCCATTGGCAACAGCATCTGGGAGTACAAGAGAGGCTCTGCCTTCCAGGTCTACCTGCCCTGGCCACATGACGTCCACTCGGCCTTCTATTCCGCCTTCCTCATGTTCTGGTCCTACGTCATCATCCTCAACACGGTGGTGCCCATCTCCCTCTACGTCAGGTAAGCGAGGGGGGGGGAGGCACGTGCCCTGCGCCAGCCCCCAAATGGCCCATTTTGCACCAGTGTGTATGTCTTTGTCATGGTTCAGTCTATGGGCGATTGAAGTCCCAGCAGGAGACGTCAGGACTGGGGGCAAGATGGCGGGGTGGGAGCAGGAACGAGAGCCCAGAAGCCAGGGGTCCGAGGGTCAGGAAGCAGGGAGTCACAAAGTCAGGGGCTCAAGGATCAAGAAGCAAGAAGCCAAATGCAGCAAGGCAGGAAACGAGTTGCTGTGGCAAAGAGCCGAAGGGAAATGCTGCCCTTATATCCCTTCCCAGCTCTGCCACCAGGTGCTGTGAGTTACCAATCAGCCTCACTTGTGAGGCCACGGTTTGCCTCTTCAGAACAAACTTAGGAAGGCCCCAGTCCTGCGAAGCCCTACTGGTCACAGGGCCCGGCTCCTGCACGCACACCTGACAGTCTTCCCTATTGTCCTTCAGTGAAATGTTTGGCATTCCAGCCCCAAACGTGGAGGGCTCAAGAGTCACAAGCCATCGTGTTCTCATGCGCCTCTACCCTACATTTCTATCCCTTCCTCCTTTCTCCAAGTTGTTCAAGGAGGTGTGCAGAGTTCTCTCTCCTCTCTTTGGTCCTCGCATTAACCCTGCGAGGGAGGCTGAGAGACGGCGACTGACCCAAGGTTGTCCTGGGAGCTGCATGCTCACGTGGTGCCTGGAAAGCTGGCCTGCCAAATCCTAGCATGGTGTTCTAACCACTACGCCACGCTGCCTCTGCACACAGGTCACCCCCCGATTCCCCCCCCCCCGAAGCGGCTTCTGCGATGGCCTCTTGCAGCTTGCAAAGGGACCCCAAGCGCCAGGAAGCTTTTTCCTGCCAGGTCTCCAGCCCATTCCTTGGTCTCCCCTCCTTCCTCTCGTTCAGCGTAGAGATCATCCGTCTGGGCAACAGCTTCTACATCGAGTGGGACCGCAAGATGTACTACCCCCTCAATGACACCCCTGCCCAGGCCCGGACCACCACCCTCAACGAGGAGCTGGGGCAGATCAAGTACATCTTCTCCGACAAGACGGGGACCCTCACCCAGAACATCATGGTCTTCAACAAGTGCTGCATCAACGGGAAGATCTATGGTAGGGCCGCTCTCCTGGGGCTCCTGCATCCGTTCATCTTTTGGAAATAATTTTTATTTGATCTTACAATTATAAGATTACAACAATACAAAAGACATATCCATATTTAGGGAGTTCTCCCAATCTCTGCACCTTCCCCTCCATGGCTCCAATTGCCAACTTTTTCAATTGTTCCAGAATCCATGTTTTATATCACTCCATTTTGTCCATAGTATCTGTGTTATTGCAATCCTGCTAATGTTTTCATCTGCTTACAGCTGTCTCCCAGATATATTGTAAATTTCCCCCCATCCTTTATTAAAGCTTTGCTCTTCTTGATTCCTGAGCTTTCTGGGCAGTTTTGCCATTTCGGCAGAGTCTAATAGCTTAGTTTGCCATTCTTCTCTGCTAGGGACTTTGCCTTCTTTCCATCTCTGGGCTAATAACATCCGTTTGACTGTCGTCGCATACATTAAAAGTCTTTTCTGCTCCTTTGGAATATGGACCCTTTGCCAGCCTGCTGTCCCCCCCCCCCCCCCAGATTTCATTCATCCATTAGTCCCAGCCAGCATGGGGGGCTTGGGGGAAGGAAAGATGGTTCGGATACTTCAGCTGGTGCAGAATTCAGCGGCCAGGTTGCTCACCGGAGCAAGACGGTTTGAGCATATTATAACAATCCTGGTCCAACTGCACTGGCTACCAATTAGTTTCTGGGCCCAGTTCAAAGTGCTGGTTTTGACCTATAAAGCCTTAAATGGCTCAGGACCGCAATACCTCAAGGACTGCCTCTTTCCATATGAACCTTCCCGGACCCTGAGATCATCTTCTGAGGCCCTTCTTCGTGTTCCTCCTCCTCGAGAGGTCCAGAGGGCTGCAACACAAGAACGGGGCCTTCTCTGCAGTGGCTCCTAATCTATGGAATGCTTTCCCCAGGGAAGTTCGACTGGCGCCTTCATTATACAGCTTTAGGCACCAGGCAAAAACATTCCTTTTTAACCAGGCCTTTGGTTGATCTGTTTGACATCCTATACCCTTTTAAAATGTGGCTCTTTTCGGTGTGTGTGTGTGTGTGTGTGTGTGTTATTGGGTTGTTGTTTTCATTCTGATCATTTATGTTGTGATCTTTTCAGTGAACTGCCCTGAGACCTCTGGGTATAGGGCGGTATATAAATTCAATAAATAAATACATTCAATAAATAAATAAAGTGCCAATACAGGAACCATTCAGACCTTCTGGAGCCCCACACCTTCACCTGTTTTTCAATGCCAGCCTGCTGTCTTGCCTGCTTCCCGATGGGCAGTTGTAGATCATTGGCCAGAGTCCCAAAGGTGCCTGGGTGCCCTTGTTATCTCGCTGGCACAAACTGGCCCAGGGCCAGAATTCACAGCCAGGTGTGCGTTTGTTGTCATCTCAGCTGGGCTCTGTGCTTCTCGCCCACAGGGGATGTCTTTGACTTGGATGGACAACGGGTGGAGATTACGGAGGTAAGGGGCTGCGAGGGGGGGTCAAAGGGTGGCAGGCAGGGTCAGTGGGCATTGTTGTGGTTCCAGCCCTGCCCGGCATTTGCCAGGACGTGTTCCAGTGTGGCGGCTGAAGTGGACAAAAGGAATTTCTACTTCCCCCCTTGCACCTTGAGCTTCCCTCCTGGAAATTTCCCTCTTCCTTTCCTCTCTCGGGGGAAGTTCTGGACCTTCTGGGTCAAGGCTGCCATCGCCCTAGAGTTTGGCAGGATGAGGAGCCTCTGCGTGGTCTTTCGTGGTCTTTCTCCAGCCAGAAGGAAGGTGGGCAGATGAGCCCAGAGAAGTTCTCATGGTGGCAACCTTTCTCTCGCCCCCCCTCTTTCAGAGTACCCCAAAAGTTGACTTCTCCTACAACCCCCTCGCTGACCCCAAATTCTCCTTCTACGACCAAAGCCTGGTGGAGGAAGTGAAGGCGGGAGACGTCATCACCCACAAGTTTTTCCGCCTCCTTTCTCTCTGCCACACGGTGATGCCAGAAGAGAAGAAGCCAGGTGAGGGGGAGGGGTGGAGCTGTGCCTCCTGCCTTGCAGGGGGTTGGACTAGATGACCCTCAGGGTCCCATTCTGCAGTTCTGTGGGGAGACAGCGCCTCTGGCTCAGAGCAGCAGTGTGGCCTGTGGGGAGAGGAAGGGACCTCGCCTGGGGGTGCTGTGCTGGGGGGCTCTTGCTGGTTGGACTCTGAAGGTCTCGTGAGAACATAAAAAGAGCCCTTATGGGTCAGGCGCTGCGCCCTGTTCTCACAGGGGCCAAGCAGAAACCCGCAAACAGGATCCGAGCCCAAGAGCAGCGATTCAGAAGGAGGAGGCAGAAAATATGGTAGCCACCCGTTGTCTTCTCCTCCAACATGAATTTGTCTAACCCTCTTCTAAAGCCATCCAAGTTGGTGGCCATCCCTGCCTGCGGTGGGAGGGAGTTCCACGGGTTAGCTATGAGCTCACTCACACTTCTGCTCGTCCTGCACCTTCTAAGCATGGGTTTTGCCTTTGCCCTGGAGAACCTGCTCTTTAGTGCTAAATTGGAACAAATAGCAGCCTGCTGATGGCTGTTTGTTCCAATTCAGCACCAAAGATGAGGCTTCCCCACAGGAAAGCAGGGAGGCAAACGGAGGTGTGGATCAGCCCTGGGTGCTGCATGAAGAAGATCTTCCTTTTATTGGTCCTGAATCTTCCCAACATTCAGCATCGCTGGCTGCCCCGGAGCTCCAGTGTTATGAGCAGTGCCAGATTGACGTATAAGCCAAACAAGCTATAGCTTAGGGCCCCTCTCTCTTGGGGGCCCCCAAAAAATGTAAAGGAAAAAAACCTGGATGTACATTTCCAACATATAAAAAAAAACCAAATGAAATAAAACCTACATACAGCAACAGTGTTTTGTGTTGTGTAGGCCCCAATGATGTAAGTCATGGGCCCCGCCTGCTAGCCTGCTCCCTCAAATATCCCTGCTTTGCTCCTTTCTATACATAGGGTGCCTCCATTCTGCATGGACTGGTTGCAGGGCAACATGTGCAAAGGGCTGAGTCTTTGTAAATTGTGTTTCTAAAGGAACTTTTGTTATTGCCAAATACCAATGTGTTTGCATTATTAAGTTTTTTATGAATAAAAATCATTTTAAGTTAGAGCTTAATAATTATTTGACTATTAATATACTTCTTAATTCTATTTCACTATGAATATACTTCTTAATTGTATTTCAGTTCAACAATTACGTTGATAAAATACATATTTTGTTATGTGCAAATGGCTTGAGATACCTATTAGGTCCACAAATTGCCGTCTAGCATATACTCAACACAAAAAACAGCGACCATTTGTTGTTGACAAAGGACAGCTGGACATCTAAAGGGCCCCATTACCTTCAGGAGCTGAGGGCCTCATCCAACCTCAATCCGGCCCTGGTTGTGAGAGTGGCAGGAAACCTCTCCCTGCCCCCCTTTGTCCAGGCCAGGCATCATTTTAGGAACTTTAAGGGCGTCTCTTCTTGGCCGCCTGTTCTCTCAAGAATCGGTTGCTGCGCTCGGGACTTTTCTGCCTCCCCCTTGCAAGTGATGCTTCCTCTCCCCCCCCCCTTTGCCCTCCCTGACAGGTGAGCTGGTCTACCAGGCGCAGTCTCCGGACGAGGGGGCCCTGGTGACGGCCGCCCGGAACTTTGGCTTCGTCTTCCGTGCCCGGACCCCAGAGACCATCACCGTGGTGGAAATGGGGAAGACCATCGTCTATAAGCTCCTTGCCATCCTGGATTTCAACAATGTGCGCAAGCGGATGTCTGTCATTGGTGTGTGCCCCCTTCCTCCCCTCCCCCAAACCCCGTGCCTCGCCTGGGATTGGTTCTCAGGGAAATACTCTGCACATGCCCGGTCTCCTCTTTGTGTCCTGGGGGAGTGGCTGAGTTGTTTCCACCAGCGTCAACCAGCTGGGCAGACGTTTTCGACGGGAGTTTGACTGAATTGGTGCAAAGCGATTTCCACTACCTGCTCGCTATAGAAAAGGAACTTCTAGGGGGCTGGACTCTTGCAAGAGCTCCAGTTCTGACATCCTTTGAGGGACTGTGTGAGAAAACCCCAGAAGAGAGAGAGAGGCCATGCCCTACAGTTAGGAAACTTCTGCCCATTGGCACATCTCGCTCAGTGCGGTCTGCAGTGACAACGGGCAGCAGTCGTCCAGCACCCTAGGCAGGGCTGGTCCCCTTCTGCATGCCAAGCAGATGTTCTGCCACTGAGCTGCTTTGGCCCTTCCATCCAGGAAGACTTGATCTTTGTAGGAAGGGGGATGAAGTCGAGAGTGGATTTCATGCTCTTTATTCAGCTCATAGTGGTGAGGAGGAATGGAAGTTCCCCCAGAATATCTGCTTTATATACATTATTGACACAATGGGCCCCACGTGACTGGCTAATTCCGGGATTCTCCTGTAGGCCAATCAGGTTGTGGATTCACTTCCACCTGTAGCTGGATTGGGTGGCTCCTGTGGACCAATCAGACTGCTGCACTCTGAATCCTGTTGTTCTAGGACCAATCAGACTGCTGCATTTTGGATCCTATTCAACTTAGTATATAACAGGGGACCCCCCCCCCGCCATCTCTGACTCTCTGCCCGCGTGCGGTGTGTCTGTCCAGGGTGGGCAGCAATTCTGGGCACCCTCTCATTTTCTGCCCTTCTTCCCTTCTTTTAGTGCGGCGCCCCGACGGCAGGGTGACCCTGTACTGCAAGGGGGCGGACACGATCCTGTACGAACTCCTGCACCCTTCCTGTGTACCTCTTAAGGAGGAGACTACCGAGTACTTGGAAGTAAGCTGGCAGCAGAGTTTGCATGCAGAGCCTCCCCAGAGCGGTGCCCTTGCGGCGTCCTCTCCACCCCAGCCCAGCCCCTGGGGGTTTTGTGAGAGGGTGCTTTGAGAAGGGGAGTCTCTGTGGCGCTCCTTTCCCCTGACCCCTCCTGTGCCCGCTTGCATCCTTCCAGGAGTTTGCAGGGGAGGGTCTCCGGACGCTGGTCGTGGCCTACAAGGACCTGGAGAGGAAGTCCTTTGCCAACTGGCAGAAGCGTCACCACGAAGCCAGCACGGCCCTGCAGGATCGAGAGGAGAAGCTGTCTGAGCTGTACGAAGAAATCGAGAAAGACCTGATAGTAGGTGGGGGTGCCCAGGAGGGAAGCCGGGCGCTCAAGGCTCAGACACCGAACGGGAGCAAATAGGGATTGGTCAGCCAGGGTGAGGGTTAGCTGAGATTGCTGCCTTGCAGGGGGTTGGACTAGATGACCCCTGGGGTCCCTTCCAGCGCCACAATTCTGTGATTCAGCTGTGCAACTTAAGCGGCTTGGAATGCTGTTGTTACTTGTTTATTTTAATTTGTCTGAGTATTTCTAAACAGTCAGCCCATTCATAAAAAGAAGAATGGCAATGAACCATAACATAACATTTTTCCATCTCCGCCGTATTAAGCGGTTGGTCCCTTACCTTTCTCTCCCTGATCTGGCCACAGTGATCCATGTGACGGTCACCTCCAGACTGGATTATTGTAACTTGCTCTACGCAGGGCTGCCCTTGAAGCTGAGCCAGAAACTCCAGCGGGTGCAGAATGCTGCAGTGAGGCTCCTTATGGGGTCCTTGCCACGGGATCATATTCATCCAGTGCTTTACCAACTGTACTGGCTCCCGGTGGAGTACAGGGTCAGGTTTAAGGTGCTGGTTTTGACCTTTAAAGCCCTATGCGGCCTAGGACCCTCGTACCTACGGGACCGCCTCTCCTGGTATGCCCCGTAGAAGACCTTAAGGTCCACAAACAGCAACACTTTGGAGGTCCCGAGCCTCAAGGAGGTTAGATTGGTTTCAACTAGGGCCAGGGCCTTTTCAGTACTGGCCCTGACTTGGTGGAACGCTCTGTCCCAAGAGACTAGGGCCCTGTGGGATTTAGCATCTTTCCGCAGGGTCTGAAGACAGAGCTGTTCTGCCTGGCCTTTGGTTTGGACTCAGTCTAACCATTATGTTTCCTTCCCCTTATGGTTTTGATCTATGGGCTACTTTTAAAATGAGGCTGCATTTTAAATTGCATTTTAACCTGTATTTTAAATTGGGTTTTTCCCCCTATTATGTTTTTACTGTAATTTTACTGGCTCTGGCCGGGGAGGGCGGGGTATGAATAAAATTTATTATTATTTATTATTATAACAAGCAGGCTGGCTTTCTCCTGCTCCGGAGGGAAGGACCCAAACCAGTGGGTTCGCGTTACAGGAAAGTAGAGCCCCCTGCCTTTGGCGCCTTCCTGGCTTTGCCTTTCTGATGCTGCCTGATTCTTCTCGCTGCCCCAGTGGAAAGATGTCCTTCTCCTCCCTTTCAGTGTGTGCATCTCTTTTCCTTTTCTGATTTTCCACTCATTAAAAAGCTCTTTCTTGAGCCCTGGGGCTGGACTCGCAATGATGCGCGGCTCCTTCCTGCTCCTGCCTTTTAAGAGTCTACGTGCGAGCGCATTTTGCAAGCCTCTTCCTGAGCCGCCTTCATCTGGGCTGCTTCCCTGGAGTCCCACAGGCCGGCAGAATGGAGCCAGCCAGGGCTCTGCTGGGGCAGATTGTCTTCTTGGAGGTCATAAGAACATAAGTGGCGCCCCCTGGATCAGGCCAATGGCTTGTCCAGTTCAGCATCATCCTCTCATCGTGGCTGAGCAATTGCCTGTGGAAACCTACCGTTGTAAGAAAAAACTGCTCCCCTTATGGGGTATCCAAGAGCTCATATAGAGTCCTAAAATAGGTTCCCTATTGGTAGGAGAAAAATAACAGATGCCAACCAGAGATTATTGAGAAGCAAAGCAGCTAGTAAGCCTGATCTTTATTAAACTCTTGCAACAGGGTGCTCACCCCACTCCCACACAGTTCTTATATAGACTTTTGAAATTGCCTCCCTTGTAGCTCAAGACCACCCCCCAAAACCTCATCCATACATCACAGAAAGAGGTGGTCCCCAGCAGAAATTTGAGAGTGTTGCTTCTCTCCTGTCTGCCAGGATACCTGATCAATTGCCTTTTCTGGTAGCCTGGCCATTCCTTCGAGGTGGTAAATACTATTCATACACAAATATGCCCTTAAGACAGGATCTGTAAGCGAAAACACAATGAGAAGGCTTTCCCCATTTTCCTCCCTTACTGCAGAGAAATATTTGAGGTCACTGGGAGAGTCAAAATGGCTTCAGGATTGCTCTCCTGTACTATTTTAGACACGTGCTTTATATACTTATGTATGTGTTTGCCTTGTACATTTATGAACATTTATTTTTTATATATATAGGACCTTAGAATTCCTATAACACTACAAACAGGATCTGAGCCACAGTTTAACTCTGCACTGCGTGACGAAGGATTTTTCTTCCATCCATCCTGAATCTTTCAACCTAAGGGCTCACCTGTCCTTCCATGTCCCATGCTTAGAAAGCAGGGATCTGAGTGGTTTTTTGTTTGCCTTGCCACTTTCCCCAGAAAACCCGCTCTCTAGCGTTGATCGGAACAAACATCAATCCACAGAAAACGCAGCAGTCATTTGCTCCAATTCAACCCGCCATAGGGCGGGTTTTCCTGGAGGAAAACAGCAGCATAAGTGAAAGTCTAGGTTGGCCCTCAACTTCATTGGGTGTCCGTTGGTCACCCCTTTCAGAGCACCCCTTTGTGACCTCCCCCCCCTCTCTCCGCAGTTACTTGGTGCCACGGCCATCGAGGACAAGCTGCAAGACGGCGTCCCACAGACAATTGAGACCTTGGGGAAAGCGCAGATTAAAATCTGGGTGCTCACTGGAGACAAGCAAGGTACTGCCAGGGGGGGAGATGACACACTGCTTTCAGCCCCCCCAAAAAACAGCTGGCGATTGATTCTGCCTCCTTCTGAGGTGCATCCCAGAATCCTTTGTGACGTCACAGGGCGGGAAGAACAGCGCAGCGCCTTCTCAGTTCCTGGGGGTGACTGTGGGCCTCCTCTGCTCCCTGCGCAGTGGGGCAGAACTCCCTTGATCTGCCCCTGGGTGAGAAACGCCTGGTGGGTGAATCTCAAAAGGGGTGAGGCTGGCCCCCTTGCTCCCACCAGCCCTAAGTCGTCCTGGAGTTGTCTCAGCAAATGGGAGGAGCTGGGAAAGAGAGGTGGGCTGGGGGGGGGCAAATCCTAGGAATCTCAGCGAGCGCCAAGGAAAATGCGCTGAGAAAATCAGGATCATAAGAGATCTGAGAGAAGCAGAGCAATGAGAGAGGAGAGCAAAGGCAACAGGAGCAAAAGAGAAAGAGACAAAGAGCACTGAAAAGTCAAAGCCCTTTAAAGCGAGTGCAGGGGGGATAGACGTGGTTTGAAGCGCAGGCAAGAAAAATGAGAATCCATTCAAAGCATTGCCAACACACATTTAACGCCCATCAGCTCCCCCAGAGAATCCTGGGAAATGTAGTTCTCCCCTCCCAGAGCCACAGTTCACAGCACCCTTGCAAACTACAGTTCCCAGGCTTCTTTGGGGGAAGTTGTGAACTTTAAATGCGTGTTTGAAGCATCTCCGGTGTTTGGGTGGGTTTTCCAAAGGAAGTCCATCAAGGCCGTCTCCAAGCTGAGGTGAGAAGGAGAGTGAGCAAGAAGCCTCAGGAATTCCTGGGCCAATTTTGGGGGCGCAGGGGGGGCTCTTGCCTTCCACCTGGCCGTCCGGGATGGAGGGGGTCCTCAGGTCAGCTGACCCAGCCTGAAGGGTCCATCTCAGGCAGAGGCATTGCCACAAAAGGGGAGAATGAGCGAGGGAGAGTCTGTCCCCCAAGGGCCAGGGATGGATCCCTCCTGGCCCTAACGCTGGTTGCGTTCTGGGGTGCATCTCCTCCTTCCTTGGAGCTGCTGAAGCAGAGGTTGGGTGGGCCCCCGCCAGAGATTCCTGCCTTGCAGGGGCCTGGACTAGGGGACCCCCTTCCCACTCTCCATTCTGTGATCCTTCCCCAGAGACGGCCGTGAACATCGGCTACTCCTGCAACATGCTCTATGACGACATGAAGGACATCTTCTTCATCCAGGGGGACACCTTTGAGGAAGTGCGCCATGAACTCAGGTAAAGGCCTTCTCCGCCTATATTGTTTATTCATATTCTTCCTAACTTGTACTAGCAAGTTCCTTTACTTGGCAGAGTTTCACATTCCCCTTTTAAACGCACAGGGGGTAGCTGGTTGCAGGCTTGTTTAAGCCTCTTAATATTAGATTCCTGGTAAGTTCCCTTATATCCCTCTTAAAAGAATAAGCACGCCACCATCTTGTGTAAAATATGTATAAGAAGTATACTCACATTCAGTTCACAGTTGGATCCCTGAAGGCAGACTTAGTTACAAAGTATATGCATGTGGATCTATCCCATAAGGGGATAGCTAGCTAAAAAGCTGCTCCAGCAACGGAGTAAGTCAAAGAGAGAGAGAGCGCTGCATGCCCTGTCCTTTTGTTACCTGTACAGGTACGGTCACGCCCACCTCTAGTCACATGCAAAGGAAATATGTCCCAGCCAAGAGGAAACAGGAAGTTTTCTGCTGACAGGACCAAACATCCCCCTGCATGTCCACTCTAGGAAAACAAGGAATGTTGTACTTAACTCCTTCTCATGTATCACATCCCATGTGCCCTCCAGATCGAAGGCTGAGGCAAGGCTGCCAGGGGCTACTAGGCAAGAGGGCCCCTCTCCCCCCCCCAGCATGCCCCTGACTGCCAGGTGTTGGCAGCCACAGGTGGGCAGAGCGATGCTAAGCTCAGGTCCTGCTGGGGGCGCTACTCCCAGGGAGGAGCAGAGATGGTCTGCTTGTCTACTAGTTAGGGGGTGGGAGTCTGGCTTTGCTTCCTGTTTGCATATTGCTAACGTTTTTGTTATTATTCCCTTCTTTCATTTATTAAATTTATTACTGTTTTGGGGAAACTCCCTGCTGGCTTCCGCAGAGCTTGTTATTGTGGGTCTTCTCTTAGGAAAGCGAGGAAGACGATGACGCAGGAGGCCGCCATGGATGACGATGAGATGGACGTCCAGGTCAAGAAGTCTGGCAACTGCAAGGTCTTGCCGGAGGAACAGCCCAACGGGGAATACGGCCTGGTCATTAATGGGCACAGCCTGGTAAGGAGGGGGCAAGGAGCTGCTGCAGGAATCTATGTAAAAGTTGAAAGGAGGGTTGGCCCCTCCAGGGGACATCGTACACACACACACCTCGCTACCAAAATCAACACAATCACTTCTGCAAATGTCCCCACAAATCACAGTTATTCCTGTACATTACCAAATGCAACAATTCACTGATAAATGTATCTATGTACTGGCTCACTGGGGAAACTTCAGAAATTCATATAAAATCACTCCAGTATCGGATTCACGCCATTCCAGCGTTGTTCTGTTCAGGAAGGAAATGGCTACCAAGGGGGGGAGCTTGGGACATGAGGGAGGGCAGTCATCCCTCTGCTTGAGTGATAATCTCTGGCATCCTGACACCTGGGTCAGCGGCGGAGGAAGCCACTCGGGCGCCTGGGGTGGCGTGCCCAGGTGCAGGACATACTGCGGGGCATCCAGAGTCTGCCTGCCTTCTCCTACTCAGTCACCCTACAGCTGGGGGGGAGGCAGCGGGCGGACCGTTTGGGTAGCGCGGAGCCTGCAGGTGCCCAGGCCACTGTGTCACTCCCAGGAAAGACGCGTGGCTCAGGCACGCTGTAGGCCCTGCGCTGAGTGCCGCCTGGCATTTTATCACCCCCCTCAGTGTGACACCTGGGGCGAATCACACCCTCCGCACTCCCCTTCCTCCGCCCCTGACCTGGATGCCAGACATGTAGCCATTCCAGAAACAATTACAAACCGAGGTGATGACAAAAGGGTGTGATGAACTTGGCTGGGAAACAGGGAAATGTAAATCTCTCTCTTTTTTTCACTTGATGGGTGTTTGGTGGAGGTCAAGGGACAGGTGAGGGCAAGCGCTGATGCTCAGGTTACTGCATCCATACCCTCCCAATGTGTGATGCACTGAAGTTTACTCACATCAGTTCACATTGGGATCCCTGAAGGCAGACTTAGTTACAGATACAGTGGTACCTCGGGTTAAGAACTTAATTCGTTCTGGAGGTCTGTTCTTAACCTGAAACTGTTCTTAACCTGAAGCAACACTTTAGCTAATGGGGCCTCCTGCTGCTGCCGCATGATTTCTGTTCTCATCCTGAAGCAAAGTTCTTAACCCAAGGTACTATTTCTGGGTTAGTGGCGTCTGTAACCTGAAGCGTTTGTAACCCGAGGTACCACCGTATATACATGTGGTTCTATCCCATATGGGGATAATCCCAGTGTCCTCTGTCGGCTGAAAGACAAAAGGGCATTTCTAGCTAAAAAGCTGCTCCAACGATGGAGCGTGCTGTGTGCCTTGTCCTTTTGTTACCTGGACAGGTAAGGTCACGCCCACCTCTAGTCACATGCAAAGGAAGTATGGCCCAGCCAGGAGGAAACAGGAAGTTTTTGACTTGCTGGACCAAACATTCCCCTGCATGTCCACTCTAGGAAAACGAGGAATGTTGTACTTGACTGCTACTTATGTATTGCCTTCTCCTCTTCCTGTCCCCCCCCCCTCTGTGTGTGTCTCCCCCCACCCCACCCCACCCCCCGCAGGCCTATGCCCAGGAAGGGGAGCTGGAGCTGGAGCTGGTGCGCACAGCCTGCCTCTGCAAGGTGGTGATCTGCTGCCGGGTGACGCCTCTGCAAAAGGCGCAGGTGGTGGAGCTGGTGAAGAAGTACAAGAACGCCGTCACGCTGGCCATCGGGGACGGGGCCAACGACGTCAGCATGATCAAGGGTGAGGGCCCTGCAAGCCCATCAGGAGGCTAAGGGGGGAGAGGGGGGGCACCTGGGCCACTGAAGGCAGGATCCAGCCTCAGAGTCCCAGGGAGAAGCAGCTTCAGGACTTCATCGGCTCATTGCGCTGCACAAATCTCCGCAGCCCGTCAGCCTTCGGGCGCATCCAATGCTCTCATTACTTAAATGTGCCTAATTGGCTGTCAAGTGAGATGCTGCGGTTTCTGAGCAGTGGGGGAAATAATGGGATTCTTCAACAGAGCTGCCTGGATTAAAAGGACCCCAGGTGCAAAACAAGGGTGGGGTGGGAAGGACACCCAGCCCCCCCCAGCCCCAAGAGAGGGGTGCCCCACAGCAACTTCCCAGGGACAATGAGCCCCACCTGGGACTGTCGCTAGAAGAGGAATCTGCTGGGGGGGCTCTATTTGATGGGGAAGGGGGTGGCCAGTGGGGTTGGGGCTGTGCGCTCTCTCTGGCCCTGATCCTGGAGATTTAAAAGAGGATTAGAGATATCCATGGAGGAGAGGACTAGCGATGGCTCCTAGCCAGGAGGGCGATGGTCTGCCTTCCTGGTTGGAGGCAGCAATGATCCTGGAAACCCCAGGAGGGGGCGGGGCTCTTGGGCTCCGATCCTGCTACCGGGTTTCCCATTTGAGGAATCTGCTTGGCCACTCTGAGAGCAGGAGGCTGGACCAGATGGGCCCCCACGGGCCTGATCCAGGAGGCTCTTCTGCAGAGGTGGAGAAGGAGGCGGAGAGCCCTCCTTCAATGGGAAGAGAATCTCTCCTTACTCTCTCAATCCATGTTTAATACGATAATGTCTTATTCTCTTGCTAATTATGCTCTTTCAAATGTGTGTTCTCGACCTTCCTTTGTAAGGCTTTGTTTTGAAATCTTTAGGACACAATTACAGTTCCCTGCTAACGACATCCTCGCTTTGAATGTCTATGGTGCAGCTGGTTTTCTTCTGTAATGTTTTGTTTTGAAATGTGCTGTTTGATGTTTGAATGTGGGTCATAAAGCGCCTTGAGGTTTTTTTCTTAAAAATTTAAAGCGGTGTAGAAACTAAACGAGTCAAGAGTTGACCCTCCCCTCCCCCACTTTGCTTGTAAGAGAGCAGATGGGGGGGGGAACCTGCATAAGAGAGGTGGGCACAGGCGGGGGGGCAGTTTTTGCCCCCTTGGATGCCCCTGCGTGCCAGTTGCTGGAAGCACAAGGGCAGAGGCTGCTGCTGCTGTTTGTGGGCCCCTTTCCAGGGAGATGCCTGCTGGGCCCCATGGGCAGCAGGGCGCTGGACCCCCCTTGGCCTGACACGGCTGCTTCCGGGCTCCCTCTCCTTCTCTTCCAGCCGCCCACATTGGCGTTGGCATCAGCGGCCAGGAGGGGATGCAGGCCGTGCTGTCCAGCGACTTCTCCTTTGCGCAGTTCCGCTACCTGCAGCGGCTGCTGCTGGTCCACGGACGCTGGTCCTACATCCGCATGTGCAAGTTCCTGGCCTACTTCTTCTACAAGAACTTCGCCTTCACGCTGGTCCACTTCTGGTACGGCTTCTTCTCCGGATTCTCCGCACAGGTGAGTCCCGGCGGCACGCGGCATGCAGCGGTCTGGCAGGCCTCTGCTGCTCTCTGCTGACCGCCCCTTAGAATTGCCGGGAATTGCCAACGTTTCCTCTGACTGAGCAAGAACTGAGGACCCGCTCCCTTTAGATGACACCAAACTGGGAGCTAACGGGGAAATCTTCAAGCCCTTGACAGTTAGGAACTTGTCCTCTGATCTGAGCAAGAACTGAGGATTGCCCTGGGCAAAAAAATGAGAGGCACAAATACAAGATGGGGGACACCTGGCTTGAGAGCAGTACATGTGAAAAGGATCTAGGAGTCTTGGTTGACCACAAACTTGACATGAGCCAACAGTGTGACGCGGCAGCTAAAAAAGCCAATGCAATTCTGGGCCTCATCAATAGGAGTATAGCATCTAGATCAAGGGAAGTAATAGTGCCACTGTATTCTGCTCTGGTCAGACCTCACCTGGAGTACTGTGTCCAGTTCTGGGCACCACAGTTCAAGGAGGACACTGACCAACTGGAACGTGTCCAGAGGAGGGCAACCAAAATGGTCAAAGGCCTGGAAACGATGCCTTATGAGGAACGGCTAAGGGAGCTGGGCATGTTTAGCCTGGAGAAGAGGAGGTTAAGGGGTGATATGATAGCCATGTTCAAATATATAAAAGGATGTCACATAGAGGAGGGAGAAAGGTTGTTTTCTGCTGCTCCAGAGAAGCGGACACGGAGCAATGGATCCAAACTACAAGAAAGAAGATTCCACCTAAACATTAGGAAGAACTTCCTGACAGTAAGAGCTGTTTGACAGTGGAATTTGCTGCCAAGGAGTGTGGTGGAGTCTCCTTCTTTGGAGGTCTTTAAGCAGAGGCTTGACAACCATATGTCAGGAGTGCTCTGATGGTGTTTCCTGCTTGGCAGGGGGTTGGACTCGATGGCCCTTGTGGTCTCTTCCAACTCTATGATTCTATGATTCTATGATTCTATGATTCTATGACCCCAGTACCTCTCCTGAGAGCGGAGCTACTCAGTTAATTTATGTCTTTTTTAAAAAAAATTGTATAAAATTTATATATTGCTTGATTGCAATTAAAAAAACACACCTCCAAGCAGTTTGTGCTCGACTGCCCGGCTTTGCTGGGTCTGTTCAGCCCCAGATACAGACTCTGAGCCTGCACAGAGCACCCCTTGGGATCTTCTGGAGCTGGGCAATGCTTCGTTGGGCTCTGGGGGTGCTGGGCCCCACCCTCCCTGTCCCTCTTTCCGACTGCTGCCCTCCTTGCATGTTCGAACTGGCTCCTTCCAGGTCTGGCCAGCTGGTCTTCCCTCTGCCTTTTGTTCTCTCCATCTTCTCTGAGATTTTCACTCCCTTGTTCATTTTTGCATTTCCCTTGTTGCCAGGGAGGGGCCTTTTGCAGGAAGGGACAGTTCAGGAAGGGCGGGGGAAGCTTCCTGCCAATAATAATAATAATAATAATAATAATAATAATAATAATATAATTTTATTTATACCCCGCCCTCCCCAGCCAGAGCCGGGCTTAGGGTGGCTAACACCAATAAAATCACAGTAAAAACGTAATAGGGGGGAGGGGGGGAACCAATTTAAAATACAGGTTAAAATGCAATTTAAAATGCAGCCTCATTTTAAAAGTAGCCGATAAATTAAGACCATAAGGGGAGGGAAACATAAGGGTCAGACTTAGTCCAAACCAAAGGCCAGGAGGAACAGCTCTGTCTTGCAGGCCCTGCGGAAAGATGTCAAGTCCCGCAGGGCCCTGGTCTCTTGGGACAGAGCGTTCCACCACGTCGGGGCCACTACTGAAAAGGCCCTGGCCCTAGTTGAGACCAATCTAACCACCTTGCGACCTGGGACCTCCCAAATTTTGTCATATCACTGTGGAGCTGGAAGGGACATCAAGGGTCATCTGTTCCAACCCCCTGCCATGCAGGGTGCTCCCAACCATCCTTTGCAGGTGTCAAGGGCTCCAGAGCACCCCTGGGACTTTGCACAGAGCTTTGTTCATGGGGAGCAGGTGGGGTGCAGGAGGGGGGGGCTCCTGCAGTCCTGGGGGTCAGTGACACCAGAGGGCTCCTTCCATGCCCTTTCCAAAGGTCTCCTGCCACCTTGCAGCACCTTGCTTTAGCTGTGATTCCTTCACGGCACGGGGTCAGGCCAGATGGCCTTTGGGATCCCTTCCAGCTCTACAGTTCTATGATCCTTAATATTGTTGTCAGTTGAGGGGCTCCGTCTGCTTGATGCCATGAGGACCTCCCTGTTTTGGGGCTCCTCTCTCTGTGGGGGTAGAAAGTCTGAGAGCAAGCTTGCCAAAGCAGTCCCAAACCAGACTCTGTAGTTGCACGAGGCACCTCAAGACGCAACTCCAGGACTAAGGCTGATTTCTCACTGATTTGGGGCATGGTGCACACTGACACTGCCACCACCCCACCCCCCAAAAATTCACAACAATATTTTCACCTCTGTCCTGGCTGACAGAGGAGTCCATTTCCAGACCCCCTCCTCCAATTCACTGCTGAGCGGAAATTTGCACCTGGTTCTCCCCACTGAAAGGGATGCGGGTGGCGTTGTGGGTTACACCTCAGAGCCTTGGGCTTGCTGGTCAGAAGGTCGGCGGTTCGAATCCCCACGACGGGGTGAGCTCCTGTTGCTCAGTCCCTGCTCCTGCCCACCTAGCAGTTTGAAAGAATGTCAAAGTGCAAAGTAGATAAATAGGTACCGCTCCGGCGGGAAGGTAAACGGCGTTTCCGTGCGCTGCTCTGGTTCGCCAGAAGTGGCTTAGTCATGCTGGCCACATGACCCGGAAGCTGTACGCCGGCTCCCTCAGCCAATAAAGCGAGATGAGCGCCGCAACCCCAGAGTCGGCCACGACTGGACCTCATGGTCAGGGGTCCCTTTACCATTTACCTCCCCACTGAGATACTCGCCTTAGACCATGCCCTGTGGGCTCCTTATTTCTGCCCTGTCTTTCGACCACAGATTGACACCCTTGGCTTCCCAGCAGCTGCCTGGGCCTTGTTCTCCTCTCTTGCTAGCCCTCCCTTGGGACACCCACCCGCTTGCACCAGAGGCCACCCTGGCGCACCCTTGGGCCCTTGCGTCTGGGACTGTGCCTCTGCTGCTGCTCTGCGTGGGGCTTTTCTCATTTCCTCCCTCTCTTGGTCTCTGCAGACGGTGTATGACGAATGGTTCATCACTCTTTACAACATGGTGTACACCTCCTTACCTGTCCTGGGAATGAGCCTCTTTGACCAGGTACGGCTCCTTGATTTGCTTCCTGCCCTCTTCGTTCGATCAGGAGTTTGCCCCACAACTGGGAGCAGAGGGCACTGTTTCTGGCCCTGCCATTGGGGTGACTTGCCTCTCTCAGCCTGGAGGCTGCCCTGGGGTCTGGCTGCCCCTCCAACACACAGGCTCTCACCCTGTATTTAGCCCACACACAGCACAGGTAGACAGGCATGCGCAGGTGGGCACCAGCATGCTCAGCCCAGAGGTGTGCGTTGGGTTCCTCCCTGTCGCAGGGCTGGGCTGGGAGGGGAGGAAAGCATTTTCCAAATGGGGAGTATCCAGGGTTGGAAGCCTAGAGGTCCAGGCTAAGACCAGCAGGTGGAAGCGATTTTGGCTGAGCCTTCCTGGTGAAGGATGGCAGGGGAAGGACCCTCAGTGAGAGGCAGGGAAGGGAAGATCTCCTGAGGTGGGGCAGGGGGGCAGCAAGAGAAGCTCCCAGGTGAGAGCCAAGAGGGTCCTCTCATTTCTGTGTGATACAAGGCTTAAGAGCCACCTTGCATTCTTCTTCTTCTTGCTGTTTCTGTTTTTATTTGGATTACAGTTGTACTTCTGCTTACTGTATTTTCGCTCTATAGGACGCACAAGACCATAAGACGCACCTAGTTTTAGAGGGGGAGAACAAGAAAAGAAATATTCTCTCCCTCTCTGCGCAGCGCCCCTTCAGCGAAGCGCCAGGAGAAGTGGAGCCCCTTCCATTTCTCCTCCCGCTTCGCTGAAGGGGCGCTGCGCAGAGAGGGAAAGCTGCGCAGCGCCTCTCCTGGCTTCAGCGAAAGCAACGCGAAGCCTCCAGAGCACAGCAGGAGCGCTCCGGAGGCTTCGTATTGCTTTTGCTGAAGCCATGGAGCCTGCATTCACTCCATAAGACGCACACACATTTCCCCTTACTTTTTAGGAGGGGAAAAGTGCGTCTTATAGAGCGAAAAATATGGTGCGTATCCCTCTGGATATGGAATCTTTGGGTTATGGCCACGGCAAACCCGGAAGTGTATACTTCTGGGTTTTGCTGTGCATGCATGCTCAGAAGCGCTCAATCGCACCACATGCATGCACAGAAGTGCGCCCCTATTTACGTAATTTTTGGGGTGCGAACGGACCCCCGGAATGAATTAAGTTCGTATCCAGAGGGTCCACTGTAGTCTGTTTTTTGTAGTACTGTATTATGAGAAGCTTTAATAAAATCTTATATATAAAACCAGAAACTCAGAAGAACCTTCCTAAGTGAAAGAGCAGGGGAGCAGACTGTCAGTTGGGAATAACTGGTGGGTCAGAGATGCTGATGTTGCATCTGGAACGGGGCTCTTCTATGGGGCAGGAGGCGATCTAGCTGGCCATCTCTAATCCACGTACAATCCATCACAGCCTTGTACAGATGGAGGAAAAGGGAAAAGATGTGGGTCTGGGTCACAATAGCCCCCAAAGCATTGCAGGGTTGCATATTATTATGGTTTGTCAGGCCGGCCCAAGACACTTTGCCACCTGAGGCAAACCACAAAAAGGTTCCCCCTTCCTGCCAGGGAAGAAGGGCTGAGAGAAGATCTATATCCGGAGCAAGGAGGGGGTGGGGATAAAGATCTGCATCCGAATCTACTTCTCCTGTGGGTCCTGCCACCTGAAGCAGTTGCCTCATAGGTGGGCCGGCCCTGCGTGGCTCCAACTTACTTTTGGTTTGAGGGTGAGTGAGTTCTGCCAGTTTGAGCTAAAGGCTTTGCAGAAGTGGTGGGTGTTGAGGGCGGATCTTGCAGGGTGGGAGAGGAGGGGTGAACAGCTGCCTTGCCGGCCATCTCAAAACGCCCCCCTCTCCATTTTCCGCCCCCAGGACGTGGATGACCGGTGGAGCCTGCAATTCCCGCAGCTCTACATGCCTGGCCAGCAGAACCTCTACTTCAACAAGAAGGAGTTTGTCAAGTGTGTCCTCTACAGCGTCTACAGCTCCCTGGTCCTCTTCTTCATCCCCTACGGGACCCTCTTTGACTCCCTGAGGAGCGACGGGAAGGCCATCGCCGACTACCAGTCCTTCGCACTCATGGCCCAGACCTGCCTGCTCATTGTGGTCTCCGTCCAGGTAAGGGGTCGCCTGCCACGGGCAAGGCCTGTGTGGGGCCCTGGGGCCTCTGCCAGACCCATGGGGAGAAAAGAAAGGACTTCTTCACACGGCACATACTGTAGTTAAACTTTGGAACTCCCTGCCACTGGGTGTTGTGACGGATTTAAAAGAGGATTGGACAAATTGGACAAATTCATAGAGGAGGAAAGGGCTTTTGAGGGCTCCTAGCCAAGAGGCAGCGGTGCTTCTGAATGCCCGTTTCCGGGAACTGCAGAAAAGGAGAGGTCTGCTTGCCAGTCTCCCCTGTGGGGCATCTCTTTCGCCCCTGAGAGAACTGGCGTATGGAGGGGCCCCTGGCCTGATCACGGGTTCTCCTGCTCTCCTTCGTCTCTCACTCTCTCCCTGGCGTCTCTCTTGCAGATGGGCCTGGACACTGCCTACTGGACGGCCGTCAACCAGCTCTTCATCTGGGGCAGCCTGGCCATGTACTTTGCCATCACCTTCACCATGTACAGCGACGGCACCTACCTCATCTTCACCGGCTCCTTCCCCTTCGTCGGTGGGTATCGGGGGGGCCGGCAGGCAGCCCCCTTTCTGGCTCGTGGGCCATAGAGCAACCTTCTTCCAGGGATGAGGGCAGGGGGGAGCCCCCATTGAATCCAGCCATCAGCTCCACAGAACGGGCCTTGGGCGTGCCAAGGAGCCCTGTGGAGCCCTGAGCAAAGGCAGCTGGGGGAATAGGTGGTGCCAAGGGCTGCAATCGGGGGCAGAGGGTGGCGGGCACCTGCATTGCAGGGGGTTGGGCTAGATGACCCTCAGGACCCATTTCTAACTCTGCAGTTCTGTGGTGCTATGATGATGCTCCTTGGGCAACGGTGTCCTTCAGAGGCGAAGGGGCAGAAAGGCAGGTGTGGAATCACAGAATCATGGAACTGTAGAGCCGAAAGGGACCCCCAGGGGTCATCCAGCTCAACCCCTTGCTATGCAGGAATCACAGGCAGGAAGGGCCTCCGGAGCAACAGGACCCTGGAGGCTCCTCGTTCCCCCTGGCCCCTGCATAATAATAATAATTTTAAAAAATTATTTATATCCCGCCCTTCCCCAGCTGAAGCTGGGCTCAGAGCGGCTAACAACAATAAAAATAACACAGCACTCTAAAATCAATTCATTATAAAATCAGTTCAAATCAAATTCATGGCAACCATTAGGCTAGAGTTCTCACAAGAAGGGGGTCAGACTGTGCCCTGGCCAAAGGCCTGGTGGAACACCTCTGTCTTGCAGGCCCTGCGGAAAGATGTCAAGTCCCGCAGGGCCCTGGTCTCTTGTGACAGAGCGTTCCACCAGATCGGGGCCACGGCCGAAAAAGCCCTGGCTCTGGTTGAGGCCAGCCTAACCTCCCTGTGGCCTGGGACCTCCAAGATGTTTTTGTTTGAAGACCATAAGGTCCTCCGTGGGACATACCAGGAGAGGCGGTCCCGTAGGTACGAGAGTCCTAGGCCGTATAGGGCTTTAAAGGTTAAAACCAGCACCTTGAGCCTGATCCTGTACTCCACCAGGAGCCAGTGCAGCTGGTATAGCACCGGGTGAATGTGATGCCTCAGCGAGGACCCCGTAAGGAGCCTCGCCGCGGCATTCTGCACCCGCTGGCATTTCTGGGCCAGTCTCAAGGGCAGCCCCACGTCCTGAAAGCGACCCTCAACTTGGGAATCAGTTTCTCCGCCAATCGCTGACCCCCCAGGACCTCCAGCCCTGCGTGTTCTGCCCGCTCTGCCCCAGCAGCAGTCTGAGGCGGCTGCATCGCCTGCCCGCTTCTTCTTCTCCCTGCCAGGCTCGGCTCGGAACACCCTGAACCAGCCCAACGTCTGGCTGTCCATCTTCCTCTGCGTCACCCTCTGCGTCCTCCCCGTCGTCGGCTTCCGCTTCCTGAAGGTGCAGCTCAAGCCCACCATCAGCGACCAGGTAAGGCCCCCTCCTCCCGGCAAGGTGCTTCTGGGGGGGGGCTGCTTGCCTCTAAGTGGTGGGACGAGGGGGGGCACAAGGCGCTGCCCCCACTCGGCCTCTGCCTGCTTCTGCGATGCTTCCTGCCATCCCAGGGGCCAAGTGACCCCGGCCATCTGCGGCTGAGAGGCGAGTGCGGATTATGGACATGGATTAAGAGGAACTGGGGCAGGAGGAGAGGGCTATTTTTAGGAAGAAGTGGGGGGAGGCGCTGCAGCTCAGGGACTGTGCACCCCCCCCACTCCTCCTGTGGGCTGTGGCCGGCTGAAGGCCCCCCCCCCCCCCGCTGTGAAAGAAATCTGAAATCTCTAGTCCGGGTGCAGATGAGAGCATGCCCAAACTGGAGTTGTCACTGCTGACTTTATTCATTTTATTTCTATATTGTTTTATTTTTGGGGGGGTCTCAAAGTGGTTTAAACATTAAAACACCAAATAAAACATTATGGAAGCAGATGAAATACAAAATATACATTCGAAGCAGCATAACAAACAAAAATAGTAAAATGTTATCTTAAAGATTTCCAAATAAGACATTCCAAATAAGAATGCCATGTACAGAATTCACATTTAATGCAGCAAAGCTAGCCAAGGAAAAAATATTAAGATTGAAAAATGCTATTTTGAACATTTCAGACACAAACCAACCAATCCAGAGCCGCCTTAAGACCCAGGAAGGCTCCCTTGAGAGCCTAATCTGCCAGAGCAGCCATGCCTCTCTGCTGCCCCCTGCTGCTTCCTCTCAGCCTGCCAGCCCCAAAGTCTGGTGCCCTGGGGGGCGCAGAGGGGAGCCTGCCCTGATCTCCATGGCTGCATCTTGGCCTGGACGGCTTTGCCTTCAGGGACCCCTTTCCCTCCCCACTCACCCCCCAGTTCTGCCTCCAGGTTTTGCTGCAATGTTGAGTTGCAGTTGGAAACAGAACATTTTTTTTTACGATATTCCTGTTTTAAGCACAGGAATAGTTGAAAGCCCAGATCGTCTTCACTTTTTGCTCCCAGGCTTGTATGAATTCCCTGGGCATCTTTTCTTTAAGAGGGCGAGAACGAGGGAGTCTCCTGAGCAGGGCAGGCTGCGGATCCTTCCCCCCCCACCCCCGCCACGGGTGTTGTGCATTCTGCAGGGAGGCACAGGGTGCTCCAAGGCAGGACGGGGTGGGGGGGGGTTGGCGGGGGGGGGTCCTCACTTGCGTAAGTATACGCAGCGTCCACACAACTTTGCTGACATCAAAATCTGTAGGGAAATCTGGGCCAGGGGGAAAGCCTGTTGCCGGTGACCCATTGGCGCCCTGCGGTCAACTCCAGGAGGCTGTGGTTGCTTCGACACCCACATTAAAATCTTTGTGGGTGCTGGGACCCCTCAAAGTCAACGGGCAAAGTTGTTGCAGGCACCCACAATCTTGGCTGTGAGGTGGCACCTGTGCACTGGTGATACCTGAAGGGCCTTTGGCAATCCTCCTTGTTGCTTTCTTGAATTTCTATCCTCTCCAGGCCGCCACCCCCACCCCCCACTCCTGGCAGATAGAAATGAGAGGCTGCTGCCACTTAATCTGCCACAACTTTTCTGAGGCTTAGGGGAGAAAATAATAATAATAATTTAAAAATAAATAAATTTATTTATACCCTGCCCTCCCTGGCCAGAGGCGGGCTCAGGGCGGCTAACACCAATAAAATCACAGTAAAAAAATAATAGGGGGAAAGGGGGGGACAATTTAAAATACAGTTTAGAAAGAGGTCCCTAGAACTATAGAGTTGGAAGGGAACCCAGAGATCCTCCACCTTCCGAGGGAGCCCCGCAACTCCCCTGCCCCTGCTCCCAGCCGACGCTTCCGCCTGCCCTTCCTCCTCCCTCCGCGCAGCGTTTCCTCTCTCCTCCTTCTGCCCGCAGGTCTTGCACATGGTGAAGCAGCTTCAGAAGGGGCAGCTGCCTCCGTCCCCCAAGCGGCGCCTGCAGCGCAAGGCCTCCCGCCGCTCCGGCTACGCCTTCTCCCACCAGTACGGCTTTGGGGCCCTCATCACCTCAGGGAGGAACATGCGCCCCTTTGGCGTCACCAGGTCCTTCTCCCCCAACAGCGAGAAGTACAGGCAGAAGTGAGGCGCAAGGGGGGGCGAGGGTGCTCCGTGAACCAGGGACAGGCAGAGCTGGCAGGACAGCCTGGGCAAAGGGGGCCCTCCTTTTCTGCGGGCCCTGGGCCCCTAGGGGCCAGACTGTTTGGTCCTGGGGAGCGAGAGAGGAGATGGGGCACCACGCGAGGAAGAGGAAGGGGGTCCCCAGGGGAGAGAAGGAAGAGGGGACCCCCGTGGCCCCTGCACCACAGCCCTTTCCAGAAGAGAGGCCGGTCCCTTCTCCTCTGCATGGACCCCTGAAGCTCTTCCAGAAGTGGAGGGCCCAATCCGCCCGGAACCACATAACAGGAGACGACAGTTGCAGAGAGGCCATGGGTGCCGTTTCCAGCGTGGTGACCGGCTGCTCAATGTGGCAGGATGAGGCCTCAGCCCCAGAGGATTCCCAGACGCCGTCCTGGAAGCAGGAAGTGTGGATTTGGCAAAGCCTGGAGGGGCCCTGCCGGGACGCCCCCAGAGACTCAAGAGCCCCCTCGGCTGGGAGCCTGGATACAGTTTGGGGCGGAGAGTGCCGTCCCACGTGGCTGAATGGGCGAAGCGCTGGGGGCTTGTGTGGTCATGATGCGCTTCCTCAATTCCAAAGATGGCATGGGGAGTGGCATGGCTGGGGCCCCTCAGGGCTGGCAGTGGGCGACGTCTGCCCCATATGGGTCCCGGCTATACTTCCCAAAGCACCTTATCAGTGGGGGGGGGGGAGTGATGCTGCCTGGCCAGGCCAACTTCTCCCACCCCCTAACTTTGGGACTTTGTGGCTGCCTGTGGCAGGAAGGCCTCTGGCCACCGGTGGCCCTTGCCCCATGGCAAAGCGGGGCTCATCATCCCGGGGTGGGTGGCAGAGCAGAACCGGCCCTGTCCCGGTTGGGTCCCTCTCAGGGCTCCAGATTATGGGGAGGTCTCTGGTCACATTTGCACTGCTCTGGGTGGGAGGGAAATATAGGTGAGGCCGTGGGGCGCCCCACAGACTTTGGTCTTCCGTTTGTACAAGCCTTTGTAATAAAACAGCAAATGAAAATGCTCTGCATCTCCCTGTGGTCTTTCAGTGAACAGGGCTCATTGGTCGAAGTGGAGGGGGCAGTAGGGGGGCTCTTTGGGGGGGACCCCAGGAGCCTCAGCAAAGGGGGCTTTGCCTGCTGGCCAGACCCACAGGGCTTTTGGGGCTCGGTCTGCTCATTCCAACATGGGCTGAGCCAGCCAGGCTGCAGCATTTGGGCTGGGGTGTGTGTGTTCCATTGCAATGGGTTGGGGGGGAGAATGAGTGGGGGCGCTTCATTGCACCACCAACCCTCAGCCATCTTTCCCCTTTGGATCGTTCAGAGGGGGGAGAGCAAGGTGCATGGAGGCCCATGGAAGATGCCCCCATCCCCTTGGGAGAGAGAGAAAATGTGGGGAGGGCTTGCAAGCTTTCCCAAACGACCCAGAGGCAGCGCTGCCCAATGGTCACAGCAGCATTCCGCCTCCAGTCTACTCCTCTTCTTTTGACGGAGTCCAGCCTGGTCAATGCACCAATCCAGACCCCCCACCAGTTTAGGGAAATTGGGGTGGTGGTGGTGAAGGGTGTCTGGATTTTTTCCTAATCCAAAGAGAAGACCCCACTGCAACTCCTGGCCCTCCGCACGTGCTCAGAGGCCCTTTGGCCCTACTCACCCTGGCATGTGCCCCTCCCAGCTGATCCCCAATCGAAATCAAGCTAAATTTTGTCCGTGGCTGCAGACAGCGGAAGTGAGTTTTGTTCGGCTCCTGCTCCCTTAAAATGGAAGGACCTCTCACTGACATCACAGGTAAGTCAGAATAAATAAAATATAAGACGATGGTCAGTGCCTGGTCTGACAACTCCCTATTGTACTCAATCACTAATTGAAGACTGAATTTACTTTCCCACGGAGCTTCTTTGGCAACTCTTTCGTTTTGCCAGGCAAAAAACAGTAAAAAGAGGAGAAACCACCAACATGGTAGTCAGAAATGGAGGAAATAAAGTGTTCTGGAAATTATTATGAGTTGTATCCAACTGCGTCCTACTCAGAGAAGGAAGGAATTGTCACAGGGGAGCTGACGGCAAACACGCTCTGGGAAGAGCTGACGGAAACAAGGCCCTCCGCTCAGATTCATGAAATGGACTCCCTCATCATGAGCAGGGGCTCAGAATGCGTGGCCCCTCCCAGACTAATTTCGAGGTCTCAGACCCCTCCCTCTGCCTACGGCGAGGCACCAGGCACATTCCTTGGGGTTTCCTGGTTTCCTGTTCTGTTCTGTGGAGTAATCTCCTTGTTCTAGGGGTGGATCTACACACAGGGGGGGGAAACGCTATAAATAAGTCAGAAATTAAATCATTATTTTAAAAAAGCCCTATGTAAAAATGCTAAAGAAATGTCTTGTGCTCTCTGGTGCCATCTGGTGTTGCATGTTTATAACACATTCAAATTGCTGAGTTTTTTTGACTAATGTAGCTGAGTCCTAAGGGTGGGAGGGGGGTCTGGCAGACTGTCCACTCTCAGCTGGTGCTGCCTCTATTCACGCCTCAAATGCATCCTGGACTTTTAAAAACGGAAGGTTCACCCAGATCAAAACAAACTTATCTACCCTTTCATATGCCATAATCTAACTTTTTTTCCTATTTTTCCATTTTTGGGGGAAGAAAACCAAAGGCTTTGCGGAGGGGGGCAACAGGGATACCCCCCCATTATTCAACCCCCCCCCGTCCCCGAGGCCCTTACATCTCTAATCTCACCTGTTGCCTTCCTGGCCCCAAAATGGATGTGGCCCAGTTTGCCCCCTGCAGAGTCCCACGGAGACATCGCCCACATTACTGTCCCCATGCCAGCTGCCACTTGCTGCATGATGGGCCTTTGTTGTCGGGGTCCGGATGGGGTGGAGTTTGGCCCCCGTCTTCTCTCTCGGCTGCTCTTTGCAGCATCCCAGGCTGACCAGAGGAAAGGGAGGGAACTGCTGTGTGTGATGCTGGGTGGAGGTCATGGGAGAACTCAGTTTCTGGAGCCCAGAGTTCAAGGAGGATGTTGGTGAATTGGAAAAGGCTCCCCAGAGACGGACAAAGAGGCAGGAAGGGATCAAATCCTGTAATAAGAGGCTGAAGAACTGGATATATTTAGCTGAGAGAAAAGGTTATTTTCAGGCCAAGCAAATAGGCTGCTGACTGTTTTGCAAAGCATTCTTGGAACAGGGCTATGGCTCTTCTCTTCCTCTTCAGAAACCATTATTGATCAAGGTTAGTTCAATAATCAATGGTTTTGAACTGCGGCCGTGCCAAAAGGGGGCAGCACAAGTAATTGGCAATTGCTGAGGGTCTTGTTGGAGCAAGTGGGATGTGCTGGGCTAGAGATCGTACAATTTCAAACTGTAATTTTATTGCTTCCCGTATTGCTTTCATCTTGCATTTTATTGTATCACGATTTGAATTCCCTAGAACTGAAATTGTGTCACAAGAAATAAAAGAAGCAGTAAAAACCATTATAAATCAGTTAGGATATTCATACAATATGATATATTGTAATTTATTGTATTTCAATCTGAATTTCATGCAATATATAAGAAATTAAAGGAGCAATTAAAAACAAATGTGAATATGATGGATGTGCCGTCTTCAACCGCGGATCCACAGGCCGTAAGAGCTGTTGGACTGTGAAACAGACTTCAGCATAAAAGAAGTGAATGTCTCTGTAGCAGCCAACCTCCTGTGAGGTTTTTAAGCAGAGCTGGGATGGCCACCTATCAGGGATACTTGAGCTGAGATTCCTGCATTGCGGGGGGGGGGTGGACTAGATGACTCTTGGGGTCCCTTCCAACTCTAGGATTCTGGGATTCTCCTCCCACAGGGAGTTCCCAGGAGCCAGTTCACGGGCCACAAACTAAGGGACCCCTTAGCCCTCTTGCCATGCTCTGGAATTAGTTGGTGCATCACTTACTTAATGAGAGAGTTTGACTTCTTGTGTGTCTTCATGCAAAATTAACACCAGGTAGGCAGTAGCCCTCTCCCCACTTTGTATCCTATTTTGATGGGGGGGGGTCAGCAGCTCATTCTTTTGCCCTAAAATAGCCTTCCTGTCTGGCAGTGGCGTAGCGTGGGGGATGCAGGGGGGGCCGGCCGCACCGGGTGCAACATCTGGGGTTAGGGCAAATCCACAGGTTAGGGGCGCAAATCCACGGGTTAGGGGGCGCACATTACTTGCCTTGCCCCGGGTGCTGACAACCCATGCTACGCCACTGCTGTCTGGCTCACCAGAAGTCTGGCAGCTCTGCCTGGAGTGTGGGTGGGTTTTAAGAGCCCCCACTTCCAACTGCACCCCCTCGCCCCCCCCATCCTCTTCCCCTGGATTCTGGACATAACTGGTGCCTGGGAGTTTGGGTGGTGCTCATTCTATGCTGCTATGATACTTGATTCTGATTCTGTGACGTGAGCCTGTTATTCTCCTGGTCATGAGCCAGACTCACCACCAACAGGCCTGTTTTTATGTCTTGACTCTGGCCGCTGCAGCTGTTCCTGAGCATGTCACTTTAAGAACATGCAACTTTTTAATTAGCCGGTCAGCTTCATTGCCGCTGCTTTTTCCGCAAGGCCAGAAGCTGATCCAACAAACACTCTTCTTAAAATAGGTTTGTTGGTAACCAGCTTTGCATTCTGTCTAGCTGTGAATTGGCTGCTATTATTAGCTTTGGATAGTCTCTGTTGATCTTTTGGCACCCCAAATTATGCGTGGGATGAACAGTTTTAGATATGCAGCAGACTCTTTAGGATTTAAAAATTCATTTCGGTGATGCTGGACGCTGCTGCCTCGAGCTATAAAGAGGCAGGGTGAAAATGTTTTGAAATGGAGAAATCTGAGGGCTCCCTTGGACAAAAAACAAGGACCCCAGCCAGGAATCCCAGAGCAAAACAGCAGCCAGTAGGCTTGGTCTTTATTGAAGTCTGTCGCGACAGGACTCCCACCTGCCACCAGGTGGAACAAGATGGAAGCCCCGAACAAAAGAGAACCCAAACTTTTATTAGCTGCTCATCCCCATGTTACACCCCCCCAAAACTACATCATGGTTACATCATGTAAGGGGAGGTCTGGTGGCCGGAATCTGAGCATCCTGGACCCTGCCCCATGGTTCTCCTTGCCCTCCACCAAACACCCATCAAGTGTAACAAAAGAGATCTTTAAATTTCCCTGTTTCCCAGCCAAGTTCATCACACCCTTTTGTCTTCATCTGGGTTTGTTATTTCTGGAATGGCTACCTGTCTGGCACTCAGGTATCAGGAGGCCAGGGATTATCACTCAGGCAGAGGGGCTGCTGAGGAGCTGAGCTCACAGGTCTATAGGAATTTCTGAAGTTTCCCCAGTGAGCCAGTACATAGTTGCATTGATCAGTGAATTCTTACATTTGGTATCGTGCAGCAAAGGGTAACCTGAGAGTAAGCCTGTTCCCCTACTAAGAATAGTCAGTCTGATAAATGTCACAAAAGAAGCTACTCAACCCAGGACAGGACAGTTTTAAAAACTGGGGCAGGGGCAAAGGGTGGCCTAGCCAAGCACTCCATTCAAAGGAGACCTTCAGGCATCCGCCAGCCCACCTCCCACTTTCATAGACCTGCAGATTTGCAGGGATCCCCAGGCTCATCTAGTCCAACGCCCTGCAAGCCGCTTTCTCCGCCTGGAAGAGGAGGGTGCCTGTGGGTGCAGAATTCAAGGGGGCGGCAGGAGGGAGGACAATGCACTTTGCTTCCTCCCTGGGGGGTGGGGGCGGCGGCAACAGAGGCTCTGCTGTACCATGAGGGCCTGGAAGCAGAGCATTCTTAACATGCTCAGGGAAACGGCACAACTCCGTTGTGGGGTTATAGGAAGTCTAAGGTCTCATATATATATATATAAATCATATATTCATAAATTTACAAGGCAAACGCATACATAAGTATATAAACTATGGGTCCGAAATAGTACAGGAGAACAATCCTGAAAACATTTTGACTCTCCCCAATTGACCTCAAATGTTTCTCTGCAAGGAGGAAGGAAATGGGAAAAACCTCCCCATTGTCTCTTTGCTCACAGATCCTGCCTTGAGGGCGTATCTGCGTATGAATAGGGTGAGCCTGTGACCTGGATTCAGGAACTGAGTATTTACCATCACAAAAGAATGGCCAGGATGCCCAAGTAAAAGCAATCAGTGACCATTATCAGGTATCCTGGCAGACAGGTTTTCTGCTGTAGACCCCCCCCTTCAGTGATGTATGCATGATGTTTGGGGGGTGGTCTTGAGATAAAGGGGAGGCAATTTTCAAATGTCAATATAAGAGCTTGCACACCATTCTTCTAGGTTCCTCTCCTCCCTCCCTGCGTGGGGGAGTGGGGGACCCTGTTACAACAGTTTAATAAAGATCAGGCTTACGAGCTGCTTTGCTTCTCAATATTCTCTGCTTGGCCTCTGTTATTTTCTCCTACTGATAGAGAACCTACTTAAGGACTCTATAGGGGCTCTTAGATACCCCATAAGCCAGGGGTCAGCAACATTTTTCAGCCGTGGGCCGGTCCACCATCCCTCAGACCATGTGGGGGGCCGGACTATATTTTTTTTGGGGGGGGGGAATGAACGAATTCCTATGCCCCACAAATAACCCAGAGATGCATTTTAAATAAAAGGACACATTCTACTCATGTAAAAACAAGCTGATTCCCGGACCGTCTGCAGGCCAGATTGAGAAGGCGATGGGGCCGCATCCTGCCCATGGGCTTTAGGCTGCCTACCCCTGCCATAAGGGAAAGAGAGCAATATTTTTCTGGTAACACTGGGCTGGCTGCCCTGCCTGCAGGAGCAGCTCTGCTCGATGAGCCAGGACAACACTTGGCACAAGCTGACTGGGGCTTGGGGGCAAGGCTTGTGGTTCTGTGGTCGCCATGACAACCATGGCGTGGCCCAGCTCCATCCCAGCAAGAGGAAGGAAGCATTTGCTCCCCCGGCACATTTCAGCCAACAAGAGGCTTTTGGTCTTTTCCGGCCAAAAGGCTGTCCGGGAGCCTCTCCAGATCCTCTTCTCCAGACTCTCTGGCTCAGAAGAGCATAAAGGAGACTGCAGGATCCGGCCCATGCCCATGGCCCATCTGGTCCAGCCTCCTGCACTTGCAGCCACCAACCAAATGCCCCGAGGGGAAACCTGCAAGCAGGATTCGAACACAAGATCCCTCTCTCTTCCTACAGTTTCCAGCCACTGGGATTTTGAAGCAGGGCTGGCTCCAACTGCGGAGGCAGAGAAGAGCCATCCTGGCCAGGAGCCGAAAAGGGCTGCTCCTGCTCTGTTTTGTGGCAAATATTTGGATGGCTTTAATAGATTTTGGGTGGTTTTTATTTTTATCTGTAAGTTGCCTTGAGTCCTGTCAGGGGGGAAAGGTGGAGTATAAATCAAAAATATAATAGTAATAATGCCATACTAAATGAAGGCCAGCCGAACCTCAGGGGCAGAGTGGGGGGAAAGCAGCGTCTCTGGACAAGTTTGTTGCCAAATGATGAGCCACTGGGGGGTGAGGTGGGGGGCAGCATGTGATATTTTAGCATGTTTTGGGGTAGCGTTTTTGGTTAGCTGAAGGCCAGATAAAAGAAAGCAGCCCTTCTTCGCGAAGAGTTCACCTGTGGAACTCCCTCCCACTGCAGGCAGAGATGGACACCAATCCCCAGAAAGCTTTAAATGAAGATTGGGCAAATTCATGGAGAAGGGGGCTATCAGTGGCTAATAGTCAAGATGGCTGTGCTCTGGTTTCACCGCCAGAGGCAATCAGGTTTCTGAATCCCAGGGTGGATCTACCCAAAGGGGGGATGGGAATGCTATAAATAAGTCAAAAATTAAATCATTATACCAAAAGGGGGGGGGGAACACTATGGGAAATCACATTGATATTTATTTATTTTTAGCTCTCCAGCTCCATCTGTCTTTGCATGTTTATAACGCATTCGAAACATTGTTTTTGCACTAATGTCCCCGAGTCCAACTCTTGTGCTCCGATTCTGCTTGCTGGGTTCCCAGTGAGGCATCTGGAGGCCACTGGGAGAACAGGAGGCTGGACTGGGTGGGCTCTTCTCATGCAGGAGGAGGGAGCCAGACCCCAGAGGCCAGGACAGGGCCAGATTGAGGTTGGATGAGGCCCTCAGCTCCTGAAGGTAATGGGGCCCTTTCTATGTCCAGCTGTCCTTTGTCAATAACAAATGGTGGCTGCTTTTTGTGTTAAATATATGCTATATGGTAATTTATGGACCTAATAGGTATCTCAAGCCATTTGCACATCACAAAATATGTATTTTATCAAAGTAATTGTTGAACTGAAATACAATTAAGAAGAAGTATATTCATAGAATCATAGAATCATAGAATCCTAGAGTTGGAAATAGACCACAAGGGCCATCGAGTCCAACCCCCTGCCAAGCAGGAAACACCATCAGAGCACTCCTGACATATGGTTGTCAAGCCTCTGCTTAAAGACCTCCAAAGAAGGAGACTCCACCACACTCCTTGGCAGCAAATTCCACTGTCCAACAGCTCTTACTGTCAGGAAGTTCTTCCTAATGTTTAGGTGGAATCTTCTTTCTTGTAGTTTGGATCCATTGCTCCGTGTCCGCTTCTCTGGAGCAGCAGAAAACAGCCTTTCTCCCTATATTAATATAGGGAGAATTCTTCTCCTATATTAATAGTGAGGGACACGGGTAGTGCTGTGGGTTAAACCACAGAGCCTAGGACTTGACGATCAGAAGGCCGGTGGTTCAAATCCCTGTGACGGCGTGAGCTCCCGTTGCTCGGTCCCTGCTCCTGCCAACCTTGCAGTTCAAAAGCATGTCAAAGTGCAAGTAGATAAATAGGTACCACTCCGGCGGGAAGGTAAACGGCGTTTCCTTCGCCAGAAGTGGCTTAGTCATGCTGGCCACATGACCCGGAAGCTGTACGCCGGCTCCCTCGGCCAGTAAAGCGAGATGAGCGCTGCAACCCCAGAGTCGGTCATGACTGGACCTAACGGTCAGGGGTCCCTTTACCTTTTATAGTAGTCCACACTGCCCACATTATTTTTGGGGGCCCCCAAGAGAGTGGGGCCCTAGGCTATAGCTTGTTTAGCTTATACGTAAATCCGGCACTGGGCCAGGAGAAGGAAGGGCTTCGCTGCCATCCTGATGCCATCTGACGGAAGGGCTGTAGGTGGACGCGGTTTTACGCGCCGCGCAAATCCCTTCTTTCTGGCCTCTTGCTTCATTCCGTGGGGCGACTGTGAGCTCCGGGATATGCTACGAGCGAGGGGGAAAATTCTCTCTCTCTCTCCACCGCCTGCCTAATTTTAGGAGACCCAGCCGCGTCTCCAAATGCAGCCAAACAAACCGGCTGGCGTGTGAAGCGCAGCCGGGCCGTCGTCGGCTGTCTGCGCGCTCCGAAGCTGCGCGCCGCCTGCAGCCGCCGGGGAGTGTCTTGTTTTGATGCTCCCGATGCGCCTCCTCGCTGCCGGGCGAGGCTGCCGTCATATTTCGGGCATAGCATGCATAGCTGGCATTCCAGGGCCCGCGCCCGCCCCCAGGACAGCCTTCGGAGGCTGGAGGGAGCCCGGCTCGGGGCTGCGCGCGGGGGCCGAATCGCGGAGGGTCTCCGGGCAGGAGGCTGACGCCGGGTGAGTGGTGGTGGGGGGGCGGATCCTGAAATCCTGAGCCGGGGACGGGGACGGGGGGAGGCGGCCCTTGCCTGGCTCAGCTGCTGCCCATGTGCGCGGGGCGTTGACTAAGAAGCGCAGCAAAAGGGAAGCGTCACGAGTCTCGCAGGTGGAGGCGCGCACCTTCCCACAGGATCGCGATTGGCTGAGCCTTTGCCAGGGATATTTCTGGCAAGGGCCCTTTACGGATCTGTAGGTAGGGGGGAGGGCGCGGCCATGTTTCTCTTCTCCACCCCAACCCAACCCGCCCCCAATTAAAAAAGGAGGCTACATGTGTTGTGTACACAGCCTTCCAATAATTAAATGGTTTTTAAATCTTTGAAAAGTCAGCAGAATGCCGGAGGCCGTAGCGTTTCAGGGAGGGCTGGTAGGTGGGAGCCGTTTGTCTGTCTGTCTGTCTGTCTGTCTGTCTGTCTGTCTGTCTGTCTATCTATCTATCTATCTATCTATCTATCATCTATCTATCTCCCATTTTTTTCTCCAAGGAGCTCATGGTGGTGTACATGGTTCTATCTCTCTTTCTTTCTTTCTTTCTTTCTTTCTTTCTTTCTTTCTTTCTTTCTTTCTTTCGTCTCTCCTTATTTAATCCCCACAAAAACCCTATAATCATAGTTGGAAGGGTCTCCCAAAGGTCCTCTAGTCCACCCCCTGCAGTGCAGGAATATCAGCTAAAGCAGGGATGTCCGACAGGATGTCCAAATTGCGAGAAACCCCCCACCCCACCCCAAGAAAGCTCAATAACTTTGGGTTCCTAAAAAAAGTACAACAACTTTTGTCAATCCAATGGGTAGATCACTGGCAGTTTTTTTTATAGTGGGAGTAGATCGCAGTAGATCGCAGTCTCATGTAAGCTGGACATAAAGCATCCCTGACAGGTGGCCAGCCAGCCTCTGCTTAGAGACCTCCAGGGAAGGAGGGTCCACAACTTCCCAAGGGAGTCTATTCTGCTGCGAAGTCGGTTGAGCTGAGAGGTGGTGACTTGCCAAGGTCACCCAGTGAGTTTCATAGCTGAGTGGGGATTTGAACTCTCTCCCAGGTCCAGGCCCAACACTTACCACTGATCAGTGCACAAGCCTCCTATGGCAAAGGAGATCCACGCCAGGGATGTGCCACCCAGTAATCCTGGTAGCTGGTGCGTCCGAAGGAAGGTTTGCCATTTTCACAGGCACTGAATATTGGGGCCTGAGCCCTGGGGGAACCTGTTAGGCCAACAATGGGAGGAGGTTGTGTCACCCGAAGAGAAGTGTGGGCGATGAGCAATAAGCACATGCACATTTGTTACCAAACAGACTTTCATGTGTGGCGGATTTATCAGCAGCTATGGAGCCTCTGTGTTCAGGGGCAGTCTACCTGAAGCCAGGAGCAGACTGGTAGATTTCTGAGTTTCTGGAATCCGGCAAGGAAGGGCCTCAGCTCAGTGGAAGGACCTCCTCTTGGCAGGCAGAAGCTCCCAGGTTCCATCTCCAGCACCCTGAGGCAGCCCCTGGACAAGGTTTTGGTCTGTGGACTAAACAGTTCCTCCATGTGACTCAGCTGAGCCAGTTCTAGGGAGGAAGTGACTCAGGCCAGAGCTGGGATTGACTCAGGATGGTTTGTCCTAAGAAGGGCTTAGCCCTGGAGCAGGTGAGGTCAGTACGGAGAGTGTGTTTCTGAGCGGGTGCAGAGGGCCACTTCCTCACCAGTCTTCTGGCGTGCAAGCCTGACCAGGTCTGCATGGGAAAGTCAAGGTGTGGGGTGAGTAGACCCCAGGGCCGGATTGAGGTTTGATGAGGCCCTCAGCTCCTGAAGGTTAGGGGGCCCTTTCTATGTCCAGCTGTCCTTTGTCAACAACAAATTGTTGCTGTTTTTTGTGTTGAATACAGTGGACACTCCGGATACAAATTTAATTTGTTCCGGGGGTCCATGCGCACCCCAAAATTTCATAAGAAGAGGTGCTGCTTCTGTGCACATGCGCGGCATGATAGAGCGCTTCTGCGCATGTGCACACGGCGAAACCTGGAAGTACGGTATACACTTCCAGGTTTGCTGCGTTCACAACCTGAAAGTTATGTTACCTGAAGGTAACGTAACCTGAGGGTCCACTGTGTATGCTATATGGTAATTTATGGACCTAATAGGTATCTAGCCATTTGCACATAACAAAATATGTATTTTATCAAAGTAATTGTTGAACTGAAATACAATTAAGAACTATATTAATCGTAGGGGGACGCGGTGTGGTGCTGTGGGTAAAACCTCAGCGCCTAGGACTTGCCGATTGCATGGTCGGCGGTTTGAATCCCCGCGGCGGGGTGCGCTCCTGTCGCTCGGTCCCAGCGCCTGCCAACCTAGCAGTTCGAAAGCACCCCCGGGTGCAAGTAGATAAATAGGGACCGCTTACCAGCGGGAAGGTAAACGGCGTTTCCGTGTGCGGCTCTGGCTCGCCAGATGCAGCTTCGTCACGCTGGCCACGTGACCCGGAAGTGTCTCCGGACAGCGCTGGCCCCCAGCCTCTTGAGTGAGATGGGCGCACAACCCTAGAGTCTGTCAAGACTGGCCCGTACGGGCAGGGGTACCTTTACCTTTTTATATTAACCGTGAAATACAACTAAGAAGAAGTATGTCAATAGTGAAATAATTATTAAGCTCCAACTGTATGTAGGTTTTATTTTATTTGCTTTTTATCTTATATTTTGGAAATGTACATCCAGTTTTTTCCTGCTTTAAATTTTTTGGGGGCCCCCAAGAGAGTGGGGCCCTAAGCTAGAGCTTGTTTAGCTTATATGTAAATCCAGCACTGTAAAGCCAGGTCAGGACAGGCCAGAGGCCGTGTGCAGCTGCACTTTACCTCTTGCCCACAACTGGATTCCAGTGGCCAGAAAGGAGATTCTGACTAAATTTCAGGAATAACTTTTGGAGAGAGAGAGCCGTTTAACTGTGCAATGGATTCCCTTGGGAGGTGGTGGACTCCCCTTTGCTGGAGGTTTTTAAGCAGAGGTTGGATGGCCATCTACCATGGATGCTGTAGCTGAGATTCCTGCATTGCAGGGGGCTGGACTGCAGCACCTCTGGGGTTCCCTTTCAACTCTACAATCCTAGGATTCTATGCAATGTCTCCCATTTTTGGTCAGAGAGATGCAGACGGCCCTTCTGGCCGGCTGATCTTTGCATGGCTCCTGCTAGTCCGGCGGGTCCAGCCAGCCAGGATCACATGCGGCTGCACGTGGCTGAGAGAGAGGAGAGACTGACTGGCTGCCAGGCCTGGGAAGGCGGCCTGCTTTCAGGCTGGCCCAGTTCCTCCCCTGTGCTTCTTCTGCCTGAGCTGCTGAGCTGAGTCAGAGCTTTGCAGATGTGCATCAGCTGGAGCTGGGTGGAGAGCTAGAGGCGGGAAAATGGGATGCCATGGCAACGCCTTGCTCCCCACTCCCCCCCTCCAGTGGCAAAGCCATGGAAATGAGTTCTTTCCATGTTCTTATCCACCAGCTTCTGGCTGCTTCTACAGAGGTTGATTTGCCTTTTGGAAACTACATAACCCAGCATGCAACGGGGCTCATGCATGAGCTGGGAGCGTTGTTTTGATTCCTCCAAAGCACTGCATGCTGGGCAATGTAGTTTCATGCAGCCAGGGCTCCCTCCCCATCTCAGGGATGCTGCTCACTCCAAGGAAGGGAGGCTCCCAGTCTGAGGAGGTCCAGCACTTAACTGGAGGATGGAGGGAAAGAGCAAAGAGAATGAACTGAGGCAGGGAATATTGGTCAGCCCAAAGGCTGCAATTCCCCCCTGGGCACCTTGGTGGTCAAGGGCAGAGGCAGAACTGGATGTGATATTTTTCTATCTATCGTCTATCTCTCTCATAAAATTATACACAGCTTGATTGTAACAAACAAACAAACCCAAAGCCGATTGCAAAAAAATAAAACAAGAAAATGAAGGGAAACGTACAGCAGTGTTTTAAAACATACAGTACAAAGCCTGCAATACGAAGCACTCGAGGAAACTGCAGAGGAGAGCCAGTGTGAGGTCTGGGTGCCACATTCAGCCCTTGGGATGCCTGAGATTCATCACCAGCCCTAAACTAGACCCCCCCCCCGCCTAGCCGCTCCCCCCAAATCTTCATTACTGTTTGATCCTGACCAGAACAGGAAAGGCGGAACAAGCTGGTCATTGTCTGAGCCAATTTGGAAAGGATGCAAACTGGCAGGGCAGTGTGGGGTGAGGTGAGGTCAGGAAACAAGAACTACCAAAGCTCTGCATAGAATGACGCCTTGTTCAGGGCCTCTTCCCTCTAGAGTCCCGTTCACCCAAATTGTGGGTGAGTCAAGCCTGCCTTCCCTTGTTTGACTCCACTGCTTTGGGGTGTTTAATGGGCCAGAAAAAGTAGTCCTTGTAGGCAGAGCTGTTCCACTTCCTTGGCCTCGCATAATGGGCTATTCTGAGAGGCAGAAGAGCTGCAAATCCAGCATTATCTCTCTGTCCCTCCCAGGCACACCAGCCCCCCAGCCCCCCTATCGTCCGGCAACAGACACTCGCCACACCCTCCAAGGCTCCTTTCCTCTTGGACTTCATCCTTCCTCTCACCCTTTCCCAGCCTGCCTCGCAGACACCCGCCCTCTTTTGCTTCAATGGGGTGTAATAAACGAAAACCTGCCCTTATTCCCTTATGGGGGACACAAGAGCCCTTATAGAGTCCTTTGTAGGTTCTCCATTGGTTGGAGAAAAGAACAGAGGCCAACCAGAGAATATTGAGAAGCAAAGCAGCTCGTAAGCCTGATCTTTATTGATCTGTTGCAACAGGGTGCTCCCCTACACAAGAAGGAGGATCCCGAACAAAGGTGTGCCCACCCTTAAATAGACATTTTAAATTGCCCACCCTGGAGTCCAAGACCACCCCCAGAAACATCATACCTACACCACAGAAAGGGCGGTCTACAACAGAAATCTGAGCGCGTTGTTTGCCAGAAATCTGAGTGCGTTGTTTACCT